ACATTCAGAGTGATTCGACGCAAAATCGCAAAACGAAAACAATAGGCCCTGAGGGATAAAGCCCCTTTGAATTAATAAAACGTTAATAATAAAACAAGACGAAAGAGATTTTTTGTAAGCCATCTTACTAAGAAAACTGAATATTGATATGACATGCTGAGAAACGACTAAAAAATATAAAAATATATAACAACACTTAATGCTACATCGGGAATTCTAAATATATACCGTTACGACGCTTTAAAAAAATTGCGACTTTGTTTTTTGAACTGTATATAGAGTGAAGAAAAAATATTCTTAATAATGAAACAAAAAAGGCAAGGGAAAAAGAAAAGATTATTCGGAGTGAGTGCAGTAGCAGACTGGTAGACTGTGAGCTCGGCGACAGCGTAAAAAACTTTAACAAACCTTTTTAGGTGACCATTAAAATCTGAAACCTTTCAGATTTTTATTTATTTATATATGTGATGAAATAATTTAGCACGTGGCAGTAATTTGGTATGTAATGAGTGCTTAAGTAGGGAAGACATTATTTTGCAGTCGCGAGTGGATTTAGGCTAAAAGGCGAAGATGCCGGAAACTTTGGAAGAATCACAAAAATCACTTGATAATTTCAAATACATCTTTATTAAATGTAAATCCGCACTCCGTAATTTTGATGATGACGCATTACATTTTCAGCAGAAGCAACCAAGGAAAAGACGTCCTTCAGCTAGGAAGCGTAGGCAGAGAAAGAGAGGAGAACTTCGGTATCGGCATCGCTGTGCTGCAATACTGCAAATTTTGCAATGTGTCCGTCTCGATAAAAATGGGCCCACCAGGCGGCCGAGCGGTAAAGTCGCTGAACACTAGTAGTTCGGTCCGAGGTTCGAATCCCGCGAATGGGCTGGCTACATGGACGTTTTCGTGGTTTTCCCCATGTGTAACGTTTATACGAGCCAGTTTCCCTTAGTAAGTCCTCCATGAAGGCATCCTTTTCCTCAGGGAGACAGCCCTCGAGCCTTTGCCATAATCACACACACGATAAAAATGTTGCCTTAAAGGCACTTTAAATAAAAATATATCAAGTAAGATTCCCAGAAGAGAAGAAAAAAATTAACACATGTGAAAGATAGAACATCTTCTCCTAGGGTTGAGAGATCGAACTAGACTCCCAATGAATTGGAATATGAGATTAAAGTCATAGTAGAGATAAAAATAGATACACATAGTACCAAAAAAAAAAAAAAAAAAAAAAAAAAAAAAAAAAAAAAAAAAACAAAGAAAATAACTATGTACAATATATATAAATACAGGAGTGCATGAGTAGCGTTTACGTTTGAAAATTTAAATCCTTTAGGTTATGTACGGCACAAGGACGCAGTTTTTCATCCTCCATTAGTAGTTTAATAGCTGGTAAAAACTAAAAACGTGCACTCACAATAGCGAAATCACGCTTTGTCTAACCTTTTCGCTCCTACAGTTTAAATACTTTCGTTTACCTTAACTTGTTTACATCCTGGTGAGGAAACGTGAGGGGAATAAGAGAATTCAGGAAAAGCTCACAAGATAAAATAATTATTAGTAAAAATAAATAGAACCCAATAACATCTGTGACAGTTGCTTCTATTGACACATTTTTTGCTTTGATACGTTGCAAAATGCATGTTAACTGCAAGGAAGTATCTTCTGTCAAATGGAACACAATATATACTGACAGGTAAATTTCAAACTGTTTTTAAATGTATGTATGGAATACTTTTGCAACAAAATCTGCAATCTTCTAATTGTGATTTCTTTAATAATGTCATGAGAATGTTGAATACATTTGCAAATATTTATTTTAACAAAATTTCATAAGTTTTAGAAGTTTTATGGGTTCTTTTTCAAATGAACGAAAACTAAAATAATTTGAAAAGCATTAAGTATTTTTATTATATCAATTGTAAACTCCAGTTTTATTATTTTTCTTATAGTATTTGAAACTCCAAAGACTGCCATTGTTCCAAAGAGTAGATATAAGTATATATGTTATGGCAAGGAAGAGATATTAAGAAGCCACTAAAAATATGAATGTAAAGCTATGATTTTTGTTATTTTATATAAGTATAGTTTTATTTCCATTGCTTAACTTGATGTATGTTTGAAATAACAAAGAAAAATAATTAAAAAAATCTGTAACTTTGAGATCCTATATTATTTTCAAACGATAAAATGTTCTCTTTATATATTTGGTAAATGCATTTACAGACACATACACATTTCGAGAACATTTGGGCTAACGCCCCATTGTGCTAAATATATTTATAAAAATGCTTTATTCCCTACAGTGTTGCCACTGCTTTCTTTGAAACTGCCGAGTTTTTTAAATCAAAAATTCGTTAAAGTTTTACAAAATATGAAACGGACAATAAAAGAAATTCCGAATTCGGGTTAGGGAGGAGACTATATTGCTCAAAATTTGATGACCGCTGTTTTTTCACAGTGCAAGAAAGATACACGCATTCATGTAGATTCTTCATTATTTAGTTTCTTTAAATCTAATACAGGACGATAATATTTGGTGGACAACAATTTGAAAAGTGATTCAGCGCTTTGCATGATTCAACGCAAAATGCCGTTTTGAGACTAATTCTCCTTCTGGGTTATTTTTATTATATGATGCTTAACACAGAGCAGGTTTTAATGCATTTAGGGATTTATCGTATACATTATTCAAAGCTCAGCTCTTCTGTGCAGTATGAAAAAAAAGCTTATTGATTAAAGAAATTGTATGACATGATCATCGTAACTCTCCTAAAATGTAGAAATTAAACATAAGTATACCCTCGAAACAAGTGATGTTAAGAAATATCAGCATTACTTCTAAATACTATAAACCATAATTATTGCATTTTCAATTGTATTACATTTCAACAACAGAAATAATTTTTTGTTAATTGCAAACGGCTGTTTTATTACTTTTCGTTTGGTATTGTGCTTCCAAAACCTGCAAAATTCATCTTTTTAAAAATTGCAATTATATATATTGTTTGTTAAAGTTTGAATAACCCGTATCACTAGGATCAATAGTTTGAATAATCTATTTTTTGATAACCCATATCAATATTGGGAGATATTTTTCTCTCGGTCACGTGTTATCTGTTTTTTTAATGTTATGTTTTATTTTTAAAACAGTGTATTTTTGGATAGCGATAATAGAATTCTTATTTTACTATCATTACGTTGGGATGCTCGGTTATTTCACACATTCTTAGTGATTGGGATAATTCCTATTTGAACAGAACCTTTTCACTACCGTTGAGCGACAACGCAACTAAAGTGTCCTCGATTTAGAAAAACGATTAGTGGCTACAGCAAAAAAAGAACATGTTTTAGTACGTTTCTGTTATCTGGGAGCCACTTAGCTCCAAACATAAACGTTGGCTTGAAATCTAGCTAGATGGCGGTAACCGTAACGAAGCTTCATGAAAAGAATAGCTAGAAAATTATATGGTCACCTTCCAAAATTCAAAAACACAACTACAATAAAATATTTAGCGTATAATGTGCTCAATGCGAAGGCTTTTGGAGATGCCGAATTTGAGGAATTCTTTAATGTTGTTGTTTAAAAAGTCAGAGAATGGCATACTGTGCACATTAAATATTATGTATATTATATTATATGAGATATTATTCTTATTGCGAGTTTACTGATCAAGAAAGTATCTAATTTACATCTTTTTTAACAACTACCGCCACATGAACTTCGACGAGGTAGGAAGATGTATATTTGTAATGGTATATTTGGCCATTTTACCTATGTCATCCCCTAGCAGGATCAATAAAGTTTTTTCGGGTGCTAACATTAAATATGCCTGTATTCAGCAGCTCCCAAAGGATCCACTTAAGTAATTGGAAATCTAACGGAAAAAATTCCTGGATTAATGCTGATTGTTCATTCTTCCCATTTATTTGTAACATAATTTCTGCTCAGCTGTTGATGACGAGATAAAAATAGACTACCACGTTTAGCAATTCGGCACATAAAATTTGGTGATTGGCGTTCCGTTAATAGAAAAGCAGCTATAATGATCAAACTCCCTGCATATCTACTTTAGCCCAACCAGCACGCACATGCCTCTCTGCCCTCTGCCACGCGACACCGAGTCAGAACACACATTACAAAAAAGGGATGTCATGAAGAAGGCTTATTATGTTACGCTGAAAGCCAGAAGAAGCATTACGCTATTGGCTTTACGGGAATTATATCTACTCACTTTGAAAATAAAGTCTTGTACATATGATTTATGGAACTGCCTACATCATATACTTGTTAATATGCGATATATAATGAAAGTCTTACAGCACATATTCTTTTAATTTTGTTCTTGATGTAGCTCGAATGTTAGATTTCAGATTATTTATTTGCAATGCTTCCAATTAATTCATTCCAAAACTACTCTGGTGGACAAAATTAAGAGATGGAAAACATTTTCCATATTCTTCCTAAAATACTATACAAAGCATTACACAGTGGGTTGCCATACAATATCACTGCGGGGCTGGTGTCGCTGAGATGAATTTACACATTCCTGCGGCCTTCCCTAAATCAGCAGAATGCATTAAAATTCGAGACCAGCTCCTCAGCTCATTCAGCTCTGCAACAAAGTAGTGAGTTTCCTTGTCTCTCTTGAGTAGTCTTGTTTTTTATGTTTTTAGATGAGATCAGTACACATCTTCGCTTAGACGAAGGCATGAGATAGAGAATCGTAGGTAGACTTGAGGCAAGGCTGCCCTAAGTTCAGGTTGTAAGAGAACTGGATGTAACACCAAGTATTTTCTCTAATTTGTGGAATCAGTTTAAAAACAACGGGACAGTGTCTAGAAGACGAGGACAAAGTCTCTCGAGAGCCAGCGACCAATGACGGCCGGTATTTGGTACTTTCAGACAAGCGTAAGAAAACATATACAGCTAAACAACTGTCTCGTGACCTTGTTACTGCCATAGGAACATCAGTTTCACAGAAGACAGTTACAAGAAGGCTCCATGAGATAGGACTGTATGCCAGAAAATCCGCTATTTGCATCCCACACCGTCCTTGCCACAAAGAGATCAAGATAGCATTTACAATGGTAAATGTAACACCAGCACTTGAACACAACTTTAATGGGATAATGCGCTGTTTACGGATGACTTCATATTCAGTCTACAATTTGATTTTAAGCGATTATTGATATGGAGGGAACCTGGGACAAGATACCATCTCAGGAACATCATTGGAAAGTACCAATACTATAGCGGAGGAGTGATGGTCTCGGCAGGGATAGTGCAAAATACCTGCACACCGCTCTATGTGTTCGACATTGGTTTCGTGAATGCCCAGAGGTACAGGGAGGAGATTCTAGAGACCTACATGCACCTTTTCAGGGCTGCTGTTGGCCATGAGTTCACTTTTATGAACGATAATACACGACACATAGGGCCCCCTGGTTGATGACTATCTGGAAAGCGAGGATATTCATTGAATGGATTAGCCAGTCAAATCTCCTGACCTTAATCCTATTGAACATGCTTGAGATGCTCTTGTGGTGCTGCTGCAATACTTCAATCCCACCCAAAACCATTCAGGAATTAAAAAGTACTCTGGTGAAGAAGTGGGGGCGACTTCCACAGGCACTCCTGAACGTTCTTTTCAACAGCATGGCTACTGGTTGGGCATGCTCTTTGCATGTCAGAGGTGACCACACAGTATACCAACTCCATTTTTACCGCCATCTTTCAACCTCAAGTTCGGACCACATTGGACTTTTAGCCATAGCTCAGACTAATGAGTGGCATTTTCATTGTCATTTTGTACACATTATTGCCATCCAATAAACTGAATTTACACCTAGTTTCATTTATTTCTATCCAGAACTTCTTGAGATATTTGGAAAAAAGTGTTCCATCTCTTAATTTTGTTCACCAGTTTAGATTGAGTATTGATTGAAACAGATTTTTCACTCAAGAACTTGATACAGCGTTTAAATGCTGTCAATCTCATTAGAATTAGATTATAAAATTTGGAGATCACTGCACCATTATTAAGCTGTAATAATTGCCGAAAGTTAAAAATTTAGTTTTTTTAGGGGCTATTAGTGTCAAAACGGGATCTTGCGTTGAAACACTAATGAGCTAATTCTCCTATGAAGGATCATTATTGTTTCGTTATCTTTTCAATTGTTCATTTTTAGGTAATTTTCTTTATATGGCTTTAAAATTTTTGCATCACAATTTTATGCATATCCACTACTATTAGTCATTGGTTGTACAACAATTTTTCCATTGCCGCTTTCTCGTTTACAAGTACTTTGAAAAAATGTTCTAAAACTTTATACACTTTCACAAATTATTTAAAAAATTTTAATTTTTCTATTGCTTTTAAATATTACGACTTTGTAAACTGCAATTTATGTAACTTCAAATTTTAACTCTTAGTTTTCTTTTATGGCTTTCTTAATTTTACTTTGAAATATAGGAATTATAATAGGAGTATTTCCATTTCATTCTTATGATTATGTTTAATTAAATCATTGCAGCCTAGGCGTAGGATTCTAAATAGTCCTTCCTTACATTTGCTTATTTGCCTTTATTTATGTTGTTTATATACATAAAAATCTGAAAAATTGGCGTATTTTTCATTTACAGATACATACACATTTCGAGAGCATTTGGGCTAACGCCACTTTAGGCTGAAAATATTAAAAACAGCATATCTTTAGAATTTCCAATAGACAGTCTTGCTCGCGAGAGATAAAATTGTTTTTACTTCCTACAGTGTTGTCACCGCTCGTTTTGAAATTGTTGAGTTTTTAATAAAAAAATCGTTAAAGTTTACAAAGTATGAAATAGATAATAAAAAATTCGAAATTCAAGATTCGGGTTTCTAGCTTCCCACATTCGGACGAGGACTACGTTATTCAAAACTGGATGGCTCTAGGTACCGTCGTTTCTTCACAATGCGAGAAACATACATGCATTCATGCCGATGCTTCGTTATTTAATTTCTTTAAATGTAATTCCGGGCGATAATATTTGTTGGCAATAATTTGAAAAAGTGGTTCAGACATTGTGATTCAACGCAAAATCCCGTTTTGAGATTAATTTCCCTTCTCGGTTAACGCCATTTGGGCTAATATTTTTAAGTAAAACGTGTATGTGTCTGTAAATAAAAAATATTAAAAAAATAAAACGTTTGAGGAATTTGAAAACTTTCAGATTTTATTATCTTTTCTTTTCTTTCTTTCTTTTTTTTTTAAGCCTAAACGGGCGTTAGTTTTGTAGGACTATTAGTTTCAAAAAAGCATTTTGCACCCGTTTTGCTTTTCAAATTATTGCCACCAAATTTTACCGCCCTGTGTTATATTTAAAGATATTAAATAATGAAGAATCCGAAGGTATGTATACTTCTCGCATTGTGTGAAACAACAGTATCTTGACCCAAAAAATTTTGAGTAACGTAGTCCTGCATCCGAATACGGTCACCTGGAAGCCCGAATTCGGAATTTGTTTTATTGTCTACTCCATATTCTGTAAAGTTTTAACGAAATTTCTTATTTAAAAACTCAACGATTTCACGGCAACACTCTAAGAAGTAAAACATTTTTAACCCCAGCAAGCGAGACTGTCTATCAGAAATTCTAAAGATATCCTGTTTTTAAATATTTTGTGATTTTGCAATTGAATCGACTTTTGTGTGGTGTAAGCGCCAAGAATATGATATTTAATAAAGTAAGTACACAAACGTTAATAATAAAAAGGCAAAAGTTTTGTTAAACCGTCTTAGTAAAAAAACTGACAAAAAAAAATGTATGACATCTTGAATTCTAAACTTAATACAGCTATGCTGCTTTTAAAATGTTTGTAATTTCGAAGTTGAATTTTATATGGCGTAAGTGCGAGACAATTATGCTTAATAACAAAGCTAAAAAGACAACAAAAAAAAAAAAAGAGGACTGGACAGAACAGTAAGAGGAGTAACAGCAGACTGGTAAACTGAGAGAGTAAACCCTACTTAAAGTGGTTCGGAGCGCATAATGGCAAACCGCACATTGAGTTGATCAATGTTAACGAATTTCGCTTAGTGCGCATGCTCAGTGGCGTACCATTGGCGTCAGGAGGAAATAAATACTGTCGCATAAGCAACCCCGCACAAGTCTGTTCGTCCTGTAGATCTTATCGACTGTTTACAATTTTATGGAAATTTTTTTCTGTTTATTGCATTTGCTTCAGTTTCATTTCAGTTTGGTTTATTTTGTGCATAAACATTACATTTAATATCAGTTATTTATAATAATGTCTTTGACTTTAATTCAGTGATTTAAACTGGATTTATTCCTTAATTTGTTAAAATATGTACAAATGAAATACTCGACCGCTTTTATTCCTCAGAAGTATAATCAATAAATATTCAGCTAATATATTTTGCAATGTTTCCTGTTTTGCAATCCTTCTTAAACGAAAATTTGCTAATTTACAATCGGTATTTAGACTCTAATGAAAGAGCTTAAAAACTAACAAGTTTTAAAAACCCGAACTGTTGACGCCCAGATAACAGAAAATTAACAATATACCGTATTTATCCTCTTTTAAAACTGCGCCAAACTCCCCTCTGGGCATCCACAGAGTGCGGAATTCGTTTAACATTGTCAACTAAATGTGCAGTTTGCCCTTACGCGTATGGAGCTATTGGATATTATTATTGAAGAGATCATGGAGCTCCGGTGGAGGCTCCAAACCTTCTTGTGTGGAAATAGGTCTAAATTTACTATCCTGCCTTACATTATTGACAGTTATCCACCGACGATTAGTAGATATGTATTTTCTTTAAATTTACAAATCTAAATGTACTGTACCACAATAAATAAGATCTACGAGTTGACTAAATTATCATCAAGGTAAAATTAACAACTTCATAAATGTCTAATTGAAATGCGTGATGACCATGTACGTTTACATTAACCGCTGAAATCAGGGGTGGCCAACAAGTCGACCGCGAGTCTAATTTTGATCGATCGTCGACCGCTCGCAATGACTGGAGTGGAATTTCGTGTACAATGGATTTTGAAGCGACAGTTTGTAGAAGACAAAACCTTTAAGCAATAGTATAATGCAATCTGCGATTTTTCCGAGGTTATAAATTCCTAGAATTCTGACAGCCAGACACTGACCTCCGCCCATTCAGCACAATACATTTCGACTTATGTTTTAACTTGTCACCGGACGCAATACCTGAACGGAAATGTTAGGGCTCGACTCATCGAACAACACAGTGAGTAAGCTCAAATGTTTGGTAGCGTCATACGGTAGCTTCTTTTCTTTTGTATTAACAGCATTATTATTAATCGATATCATTTACCCTCAGTGACCACTTTGGGTTTCAATTTTTCTTTTGTTTAAAATGTAAGTACTTTGTTTTAAAGCAAATTGATTTTCTTACATATCTATTTGATAAGGGAGCATTCTCGGCAACAGATCTCTGAACTGCTATCATTACACCGAGAGAAAAATAGGGGGCAGTTTTACAAATATATTTAGGAATAACATTAATTCAATTTAAATTAAGATTTTAGTATTTAAACCGTAATAAATATATTGTAAATTTAACATACTTCTTGCAAATTTGAATGTATCTTTATTAGATTTTAATACACTTGTATTGCTGTGTCTGATCATGCAGTATTATCATTTCTCTCAAAATAACGGAGATAATAGCCGCAGTTCATGAGCTTTTAATTTTCTAGAAAAATATTTAATTCAATATTTATTCTTTAAATTGTCATATTTCTTTGCATTCTAGTATACCCATGATGACCATGAGAAGTAAACTGAAGAAATCGAAAACTTATCACTTCAATGAAGAATGGGAACTCGATTACTTTTTTACAATGTTGAATGATGAATGTTTAATATGCCTTACCTCAGTAGCCATTGCTAAAAAGGGAAATTTGTAGAGACATGTTTTTAGCTTAACATAACAAGTATCAAACATTGTTTTCTCGGTTCAGAATTTGGTGAATAAAGTTAGGGATCATTAAACTAAATTAACAAATCAATAAAGCGTTTCTAAAGTCTCAAGCAGTAACTACTGCATCATTCAAAATAAGCTACCTGAAAAAAAAAATGTAAGCCATTCTTAGACGGTGAATTTGTGAAGGCAATTTTCTTTAGAAATGTCAGATTCACATTTTAACGATTTTAAGAGCAAGAGTGAAATTGTTGCTGCAATTCAAGATCTACAATTGTCTCGATCCCAGTGAAATTGAAAGGATGAGTGGGAATGTAAAAGAGCAGTTACATAATTATATCAATAGGTGTTCTTATTTTCCCCTTCAGTATGATGAATCGACAGATATAAGGCACAATTGCTTGTTTTCGTTCGTATGTAAAATCCTTATTTTACATCTAAAGAAGAGTTGTAAAGTCTACTGCCGAAAAGCTAACTGAGGGATTTAGAGCTGCGACGATGCTAGTAAAGTTTGCGGATGATGAAAATTAAGGATTATTTCTACGCATCTTAGGTATACTTTTTCATTATGATCACGGCTATCCATTATTTCACGTATGTTACTGGTTCATATGGATGTGAGATTTATGTAATTTGAGTTTTCACATGTTCGATTTTATCCTTCGGTTATTTTTTGGACATAATTCGAAACAACTTAGCCGTTTTACAAGGGGTAGGGTTCTCGTTAACCCAGGTACCCTGGTGCTACACCGTTCCACTGGAGGAGAGTTGTTGGGTATGATTTCTCTGAAGGAAAGGACTAGAGGTGTAGACACATTCAAAACCTTTTAAAAAGTTGCTCAACGATTTAAAAGTACCTTTTTTAAATTAGTTTCAATAACAAAGGATGGCGCAGCTGCAATGATAGGTAGCATAAATGGATTTATAGCCCTATGTCATAAGAAAGATGAATTCCCTGCCTTTATCACTTCATAATTCACCAGCAAGTGTCAGCAAGAGACTAAACACAAAAGTGGTAATGGACATAGCATTTAGGATTGTTAATTCCTTTCGAGGAAGTTCCCTCAAACGGCGTCTCGTCCAACTGCAGCTTAATAAAGGCCAACCTGAATTATTACTACATACCGATGTCAGATGGATAAGCAAAGGTAAATTTCTGCAACGATTTCGTGATTTATTGCCTGAAATTAGAGATTTTCTTCACGAACAAGATGGAAACTGAACATTTAAATGATGAAACTTGGCTTAGTGACTTAGCATTTCTGATTTAACTTAAACATTAAGTCATTTAAATTCAGAATTACAAGGTAAAAATAAAACTAATTGATGTGATCAGCTCCATAAAACAAAATTTATTTTGCTAATAGAAGACCTGCAACAAAATAGTCTGAATAATTTTCCAAATATGGCAGATAACCTACAAAAATATTAATTATAAGATCGACAAATGTGTCTCGGAAATCCAAAAAGTAATTCAAGATTCCGAGATAAGAATCAAGGATTTTGAAAAACTTAAAGAAATTGGGGAATTCATATCTTTTTCTTTTAAAAAGATTTAAGTGTGAAACGCATTAACCAAATAAAAGTCCGAAAATTTGAAGATTTTTAGAAATATGTCAACCGCGAAAAATATCCCAGTATCAGCAAACGTAGCGAATTTTTGTTTTGAATCTACATACCTATGGGAATCGGCATTTTCATACTTGAAACTAACGAAAGTTAAACAACGTTCTGTGCTGACCGATTCACATACTGAAGCCTCATCATTGTTATCTTTGTCAGAATATACACCTAATTACGATTCTTTGGTTTAGGAACATGCAAACACGGTGTTTCCATTGATGTTAAGGCAACAAAATAAATTCAAAATCTCTATCTGTAGCTATTTTGAGTTAATAAATACTGTTAATTATCCATGTTCTTTTTTCTTCCTTTGACATGAATTTTTGGAATCTTTAAATCATAGTTGTTTTTATGTAGAAACCTTACATCTATATTTCAATGCGATGTATGCTCAGCGAGCTATTGATAGATTAGCAAAAATTAAGCCATGCTAATCTCTATTGATAAATTCTCCTGTCCCCCCCAAAAAAAATGCGAAAGTGAAATATTGAAATCAAATTATGTCATATTGTGAATTTTTAAAACTTTTTCATATGAACGAACAAATAGTACAACATACATGGCAGTAGATAGAAAAAGAAATTGCATTTTAAGTTAGTAAAAATCTATCTTGAAAAAAATGTAATATCGAATTTTTTTAGGTACCACATGTACGAAATGCTGCTATTAAAAGTTGGGCATGGAAATTAATTTTCTTCGTGAGCCTATATCTCGAAAACTTAAGTGATTTACAAAATATTTTTGAAAATATTTTACTTATCTACCCATACCTTGCTGGAATGTACCTTATACTGAAACACTGCATAAACATTGTATTTTACACCCTTCTCCCCCTTTAGACTACACCTATGACAAAAAGTCGATTGCGACATACTTTTAAGATAAAAGTAGACTTTATATACAAAATGTTGTCCACCCCTGTCGTACAAAATATAAATAGTACAAGACCATCGTCCTTTGTTTTCTAAATTTGTAAATGCTATGCACGCATTTGTTGATTTGTATTTGATTTATATTTGTTGATTTGTATTTGATTATATATATTTATGCACGCATTTGTTGATTTGTATTTGATTTATATCAAGTTACTTCTTGCAATTATTGTATACGTTTTTCATTATTGTAATGTTCATTATTTCATTGATGCTTTATTTGCAAGTACGCCTTCCTGTCCAGAGACTGTACTGCCCGGGACGTGCAGTTCGTGGGAAGGGGCAGTATTACGAATTTTGTATTTCGTTAAGAAATGTTTTATTTCCCCGTACAATACAGCACCAGACACAATTAAGAGAGAGCTACGGCGGAAATTAAAAATACAGGAGCATGTCAATTTAGCATTGAATAAAAGATTCTTGTAATTTGTATTTAATTTGAATAAATGTAATTGACTACTATGTTAGCTATAACAGTAATTCTCTTTTGCTTTTCCGAAATTTCGAAAAGCAGAAATTTAAGAGAAATTTCTCGGGATAGATTCAAGTCTATAAAAAGCCAGAAAGAGAACATCTCAGCTCGGTTTAGTTAGCTGTTATTGTTGATCTGATTAGCTTTCTCTACGCTGTGTATTGCTTTCTACTTAACATTTCCGTATTTTGAAATAAAGCTACTGATTATATTGCTTGATAATGTACGAATATCTCTGAGGGAAAATTCAGCGTTCTGTTATATTTCTTTTGATAAGAATAAATTTTATTAACCTTTTATTGGACTTGTGAAATCAATCCATTACGAACCCGTACACATGCAACAATATAAATGTTGAAGTTTAGGTTTCTGTTACTAGATTTATGTAGATTTCGTTTCGGAAGTACTTTTGATGACATTTTTTAACTATTTATTGTCTTTCAACTACATATTGATGTAAAGGAAAGTTATAGTTTTTGCTATGAAAGCAAATAATTGAATATTGGAACACAGGGTAAAATAACTTATACTTAGAAACCTTTCTTAACTTTTCACAGCACAATTTTCAATCAGTGTTTAAATGATAAATTTTTAGTTATTAATTCAATGGTTCTGCAGCAATAAAAACACCTAATTTATTAAAAAAATTAAGACATTTTGCCAAAAATATAAACACGTGATATGGAAATTATAGTTTATTGCTTTAGATATTAGAAATTATGAAAAATATAAATCTTATTAGAAACATTTCATTAATTACATTTTGTACATGCCAACAAATTGAGAAAAAGGTCTTATGACTGGATTTTACGATTCCGATTTTTTAAAGATTTTTGAGATTCTGATTTTTCTGAAGATTAAGTTCCTGCTAATTCTTCCTCCCAAATTTGTTTTATTACAGAATAGTATAGCTCCTCGAATAGTTCATATACTGTGTTGAGTTTATACAGACGGTCCCGTGGACGCGAAAGGCCGATCGACGCTCTGAAAATTAAAATAATATCATTAGCAGACTTTAGAAATCAATTTACCAGTTAGTCGTATAACTACAAGGTCGATAGATTTAGATCTTCCAAAAGGGAATAACTAGATTCTTTAAAATTTAGGTTCATTATTGACCATTTTGCAAAATTATAAAAATTCTAATTTAAAAAGGCATTTTAAAGTTTGGAAAGGTTTGCTTCTATCCATTACCCATCATATAGGATAAACTTGGACGAAGAAGCCTTTTAATAACGTATAAGGCTGCGGTGGTTAATTTTACAGGTACAGGTATTCAAACTTTCTGTATATTAACTGAAATGTGAAGATTAAGGGGATAAGTTCCGTAAATTTATGATTTATATAGGTTTAGATTAGCTTTAATCTAGAACACTACCTTGAAATATTAGCGAATCATTTACATTGTAACAAAGACTTAATTCACTATTCTACCAAGTTTAAACAAATGGCGGCTTCACTGCATTTAAATTGTTGATAATTCTACAATTATTACATGCCGATTGATTAAAGGCATGAAAGCTTTAACATAATTCAATCACTTAACGCAAAAAATGCACAATTTACCAGCATATAAGAATACAAAACTGAGCTCACCGAGGGAGGCAAAAGAGTGGGTATATAGTATATATATATTTCAGTGTGACCGATTGCAACCAAAAAGGGAGGTGCACGACTATGTCCCATATAACAAAATTTGAAACTTTCTGCGTTGAAAGTTTTTCTTAGCTACTCGTTTTGGAGCTATGTGAGATATACACACGTACGTAAAATATCTCTTCTGAATACATTTTAAAATCATTTTTGTGAGAAGTCGTTTATGCTGTCCGTATGTACAGATGTCGCGCAAGAAGTCTCAAATGGATTCGAGAACCGCCAAAATATGTATTTTCGTTACAAAGGTACCCGAAATTTTTCGCTATTACAATACTTCCTTCACTTCGCACAAGTAAAAAGGACACTGTGTGCGACTAATGTTTTATGAAATAGCTACAATTAAATCCATTGATCAAAAATAGTCTCGTGGAGTGACGGCAGGAAACGAAATGTTGAATCCATTAACTTAGGTGCTTTGATAACATCTTATATTTTGTATTGCTTGTTAATTGTTGTAAATTAGAGGGATTCTAACTTTATGGAGAGCCGAAAATACTCTCATATGGTTTGGTGGAAAGGGAGTGGGAGACCCTCGGATCACTGCCGCTGTGAGGCTTTCGCCACCATTCTTCCACGAAACTAATAGACAAGACAACGCAAATTACCCAAAATTTAAATGGGATCTTATTAAGGCCCCATTATTCCAACGGCACTATAATTACCCGCAAGTTTTTAATTTAGTAAAATTAAGAACTTGCATAGCAAGCCTACTCGACTGTCGTTTTTCCTGCTTTATTATATACCGCAGGGCTGTTATAAATAGCAAAACGCTGATCGAAACATATTAGCTTTTAGAATAGGATTTTCTTTTGCTTTGAAGTTGCACCTACAAATGCTTTCGTCTACATGTAGCTCCATTTTGTGGTTATTTTCGCGCATATTCAAATGCAAAGATGTATATTAACTACTCTCACCACTACCTGGCTGGTGGTACTAAAGTAACAGAACTTAAACATTTAAAGTATGGGATAAGTCTAGTGAAATTTTGTTTTGGGCGAGTATTGGCAGCGAAAAGGAAAAATTATAAAGGTAGCTTTCTTTAATACAAAAATCATAAAGCATACATCGCCAGTTCTTCCATGAAGCGCATCGAAAGGGCAAACTAAATCGATTTTTCAAGACACCCCTTTGAAAAATGAGTTAGGGTTCATTTCTATGGCAACAGACATTTGTGGACATTCAATCTACACATTCTTGCAATATATTCAAAGGTCTCGCTTGGAAGAATGATACAGAATCCTTTTCATCGCCTATTAAAATTTACATAGCTTCGAAAAACGACTACGGTAGAAATGCAAAGATAAACATCGCCTATTCAGGGTTCTTATTGTAACGATTGGTTGGGGTTTTAGTAGAAAACCCATATGGGTCATATTGCGCCAAACAAAAGGCTTATTTACAGAACTTAAAATAATAAAGACAAGAAACGCATGTACCATTTAGTAAATAGGCACAAAACAAGTTTAAGACAAAGTTACATATAGGTATAAATCAGTAATAAAGTTTAATAAAACCTGCAATAAAATCAAACAAAATTCTTTCACGAAACCTAGGATACGAAAGACCATGAAATACCGATGGAAAACTATTAGTCAAAGGATAAATTGAAAATATAAATATATCTAGCTTCCAGTTAGACCTTCAGCAACACAAATTGAAATCGGTTCATTCAAATAACGTGGTAAAAACTTTGCAGCTCTTAAAAAGTTTAAAATTTCAGGATGTGGTTTTCAAATAAATCTTTGGCTGAAATCTCAAATATTTAAATTTCGAAAGCAATTAAATGTTGGACAATCAATTTAAATGTGTTCAATGGTTAAAATGGTATTGAATTCAACACATACTGGTTCCGTTTCCTCCAACAATAGGCACCTGTGTGTTAGTCTCGTGTGACCATTCCTAGTCGGGTCAGAAGGACCTGATCCTTTCAGTTTAAAGCACATTTCTAGTGTTCTAGTTTAGGTTTTAAATTTCGTAATTAGTTAACTGCGCATCCTAAAGCTTCTGCCATTTCAAATTTTACCTGCCAATCTGTGTTAATATCTGAATAGGGCACCGGCTGGCTGGATGTCCCACAGGCGTATTTTGCAGCGATATTGGGAATCACTACAGCATTTCGTCTAGCATTAGGGCAAAACTTTTTCCATATTCTATTATGTAGAATGAGAAGAGATTTTTAATGACTTATTGGACAAATACATGACATAAACAATGCCATCATGGCCAGGGCTCGTCATAGACGTTAGCGACAAAACTTTGTTCATCTCCACCATAGTGAAATCAGTGTTATATGCTTCTGTACTGAGATAGTTAAAACTGATGGATATATTCTCATAACAATGTTGGTAGATAATCAGTACCATTTGACACAGCACTAAATGTCTCACCTATGATATTAGTAACATCTTTTCTGCTGCTAAAGTTAAGCCACCTTTTTCCAAAATGGGTAGTCGATCATCCTTATTAGTACCTGAGAATTTTTAATTTTTTTGCAAACACACTTGCTTGGAATGGAATATGTAATGGATGACTTAATTGATCCAAGCATTCCTCCATCTTTGGCGTCACAATCTTTGATCATTTGCTTTTGCCTTTTTATAGGATATAAGATTGCTAAGCGTGAGATTCCTGCGAAAAATTCCACAGGCTTTTCTTTGCCGTCCGACTCCTTGACAGTCACAGTTTCACCATGGTTTGAGATATTTAGGAAGGCTGCCTGATGATATGGGAATAGATTTTAGCTCCCCTCATAGAAGGGGAAGTGATCAATTGGCACCTTGTATGCCATGTTATTAGTGAGCATAGCCAAATTAGAAAACATTTCCCAGCCTGCTTGTTCGTAAATAAAACGTAGTGATCTGAAATTTGACCATGCTGTAATTTGATTAAAAGTTCCGTAGATAGGGAAATAATCACTATTAAAAGTGTCGTTCCCAACGCTAAATGAGCAAAACGGGAGAAGTAATGTGAACAAATGGCAAGATCGGTACTGTGAAATGTCCTCGTGGGTTGGTGGAAAAATGTTCTTAAGGAGTCACAAGCAGTGATCATTAACAAGGTCTTCGATTTGTTTTATCCGAAGAGATCACCACTATCACAGATGATTATGGCCATTGAAATCGACAAATACAATGAAAGGAGCAAGCAACTGTTTTACCAAATTATCCAATTCATTTTTATCTATAACTTCATTAGGGTAGACGGTAATGGTGTGGTGTTGGTGTATTTAATTATGGCAAAGCACACTAGGGCTATCTGCCTAAGGGGAGGGATGCCTTCATGGAGGACTTTCTAAGGGAAACTGGCTCGTATACACGTTACACATGGGGAAAACACCCATGCAGCCTGCCCGTTCGCGGGATTCGAACCACGGACCGAACTACCAGTGTTCAGCGACTTTACCGCTCGGCCGCTGGTGGGCTAGACGACGGTAATGACAGCGGCTAGCGTTCTGATATCGATTTGCACCACAACAGCTTGGAGACATATTCAAAGAAAAGACAGTCGAAGAGTAGACATGAGAGGTGAGAATAGCAACACCTCCGCTTACGCGCTAACCACAGGAAACGTCTTTTCTGACAGTTGAATACCTGCGCAACTTAGCTGTGCTATCTTGCTTGAGAAATGTCTCCTGCACTCCAAAACAGGCAGGGTGATAAGTATCTATCAGGCTCTATGTTCACTAGACCTTTATGAAATCCACGACAGTTCCAAGATTTTGAGGTAGCCATCATGAATGTTTATTTTGCCTACGCTGTTTTGTTAGGCGTAGTAAAAGATCTTTTGGCGGTGTTAAATCCTTTTCCGACAGCAAACTCTAATGAAGCATGAACAGAATTTAACGTTTTTGAGCTTACGTTATTTAAAGAGGACTTGGTTATTAATAATAATTACTCAAGTTTTTTTATGACATGGTACATCTTTAGTATTGGCAGAAAAATTGCTATTTGGTATTTTTTGTGTTACTTCTGTTTTAATCTTTGAAAGGTAAGTGATGTCTGAATAGCTATTGAGAGAATAGATTTTGTTGCAACGCCAAAACTCAGATTTGGACGAGGTTGAGTGCTTTCCAACAACCCCTTAGCTTCTGTACCAGATATCGTTTTGGTTGCCGTTTGGATTTCCTTTCCGATTTTCCATTTGAGACATGGACAAGAAAGATGGGCGACTTTCTTTACAATTAACACAAAGAGGCTGCAGTGCAACCCTCACTTTCATGATCCACAATAAAGCAACGAGGGCATGTTACCGCGACATGCAGCCTCTGAGGGTCCAAACCGCTCGCATTAAAAACAAAACAGTGCTTGGCCCATAGCGCTGCATCGGGCGATGCTAACTGCCTGCTTTAATGTGATTTCGAAGTTGAGAAGTGTTTAAGGTCAAAATAATGCGTTTAGTATCAACTGACCATACTTTCTTATTTTAATAGGACGTGCATCAGAAAAATTCTACTCGGCAAGTTCGGCAATGTATTTTTCGTTCGATATTGTTAATAGCTAGACTGACTACACGCCATAACTGGAATTCAGCTTTGTGTGCAGAAACCGTAACAGCAAATTGTCCCATTTTTGACTAGTAAGAAGGGTCCTACTTATTAACAGTTTCCTTTAATAAGTCACCAGACCGTAAGTGTTTAATTGATCTTGGTTCTTTAGCAAAGGCTTTTAAATTTTTAAACCAGGAGTGACATTTTATGCAATTCAGCAGATTTGGTCATAGCACAAAATATGATCAACTTTAGTGTTTTTTGAAATTTTCGTAGTTCGAGGTCTTACTTGACGATTCCTTTGCAGTTTCACGAGATAAAAATGTGTGAAGCTATATTTGAAGGAAATAAAAATTCGGACCTGGCATCCCTACCCATCACGGAGTGCATAAAAGGAACTCGGATTCATGCGCCAGGAATAACCGAGTTTATACGCAAACAAGCCCCACAGTCTGCTTTCCAGAGAGCAGGTACTCCTGAGAGTTCCCCCCCCAAGGACTAGTGGCCAGCCCATCGACAACCGCGAGGACGACAAGATGCCTCCCATTTAGCTGAAGCAGGGGCAAAAGATGTGTGTTGGGGACAGTACCTCGACCCTCATCTACCAGGTCCCTTTTTTTCAGCGACACGGGTTCTCACGCTGGCGAACACGTGGGCAGTTTTCTTGCCATTGGAAAACTACAGACAAAAGCTGTTCCAGTTTCTCATGACGAGCCCCAACCTTCGAAGAGGAGTACCACAAGGGAGAAAAGAAGGAAAAGTTTCAGCTAAGAGGAGATGAGACTGAAAAGAGGCTAGATCACCTGAAGGCTTAGGGTACCTCGGGATTGCCCCACCCGTACTCACCAAATGAGAGCCCGAGGGCCTTGTTGTGACAGAATGTAATATGGCTAAAATTGCAGCCATTTCGAAACGGTTTGAGAAACGCATTGAGGTTTATCGATACCAGACGTCGTTAAAAAACGAGAAACGTTACAAATACATTTAAATGTTATCACTATACATAGGATGTTAATATATTTTTAGAATCAAAAAATTAAAAAAGAATTAAAAACTAATGCTTTGGCATAATATCTGGCAGCAACTTATTTCGAGAGAAATATCGTCTGCTTATTCTAAATTTTTTCAAGAACTGCATTTAAACTAGCTATAGATTGAAGAGTTTGTACTTGCAGAAAACAAATATTACTATTTTGTAATACAAAAACGTTGTGAAATGTAGGGCATTAAAATATCCAAATGCAAAATAAAGCATCCTGTTAATCGGAATAATGAAGCATGCAAGTCATCACAAAACAGGCTGTAAAACCCTGTATAAAAACTAGTTAGCAAAAGAGAGAATATTTGTACAAATCTGGCTCCGTGATTACGAACATCGTTTCAGTAACAGGTTTACGATTGTCGCAGGATACTCCGTATTTGAATCTGAATAAAGTTAGAATCAATATACAACATGCTTCTGTATCTCGCATTTTCTCGAACAATATATAAGTAAAGGTAAAATTGTGATCTTTTAATTCAAGAAATATTAAAAATTACAATTTTATTTTCGAAGAAAATAATGAAACTTCATCATTGAAATTGTAATTTAATATATTCGAATATTTTTTACATAAACTAATGGTGGAAATGTACTCAAGATTATCTAAAAATCTTTCTATTAACCAATATTCTGAAATATATGTATTTTAAGAAAATTCCTTACTCTTAAAGCTAAAGTACCTTTAATATCTTCGAAAGACTAAAACGAATGGTATGTTTTTAAAGAATTTTTGAATTTAACAAAAGAACATTGAAGACATATCGCATCTTACCTTATCGAAAACATTAGTGATGAAATATATGCGAGGCAGGAGAAGCAGAAAAACATGATCTGCAACAGAAATTAAATTAAAAGTAACGAGAAGTGTGCGAATTTCATTTCAACACTTCTGTAAAAGCTTCAAAATGTTTTCAGGCTTTGGGAGAAGGCATGATAAATTGCAATGGAATTTAATTTTCCGAGTCTATAAATGACAGAATTAGCTTTTATAAATAATTTATGAGATATTACACCCCGGTTTCCATTGCCCCATTTTACGCTTAAGCCCCGTTCACATGCAAAGCTCCTTCGCACAGCTGCCTTTAGCAACGGGAGAAAAAGGAGACATGAAAGAGTTTCGTCTTTAGGACCCGTTCAGAAGACCACCGTCTTCCTTCCCCTTTACACTTAAGCCTCTGTGAACAATCACGTCTCCGAATTGGCAAACTTCTAATACTGTTTACACATTAGTAACGCTGTTTACTGTTGTTAATTTTGTAATCTGTACTTTCGCAACTGGTACCTGAAATTTCGTAATAGTTCCTGAAAAATATGCTTTTTATTATTATTTTATAAGCTGTTATTTAGATTACTCTTGGTGCTTGTCGCTATGGTTAAAAGATGGTCATGGATTTTTAAACCGCCCACGATAAGATATAGAACTCAAACTTAGTACATACACTGCTTGTGGATGTGGTGTCACGCTTTTGATTTTTAGACGATTAGAATTTTTTTCAAATTTAATGTGGAAACGACTTTCTACAAATATTAACAAATAAACTAAGAATCTCAGAATATTACAGTTTGCATCATAACACACTGTGGAGGGAAAAAATTAAATGAAATTTTTAGCGTAATTTTTTTAAAAAATATTTTGGGAGAATTTAAAATTCTTCATATTTTGAACTTTTTGACGCCCATTAGTTTTAAAATTTCATATCTAAAAATATATCGGTTACAAACTTCCGTCGTTTTCACAGCTTATAAAACAAACTTTTCGCATTTAAAAAAATGATAAAGGAAATTAATTGGATGATTTTTTTCTCTTTTTTGAAAGATATGCAATGAAGCAGAATGGGAAATACTGGTTCTTCTTGGGCATCAATTCGAAACATCGGTTTCAAAGTAAATCTCATTATACCACACTATTTTTATGACATTATTTATGCTATACAAGTTGTTATTGTTGCCAGTTGTTAGTTAAGCGCGAGATTGGCGATATTTCTGAGTTAACTTTCTTAAGATGCGTTTTGCATTCCATTGTGTTTAACGTTCTTATTAGATTGAAGCATAACTACTGATTATACTTAGTGATATTCTAAACACTTGCAGAGTATTTCTGTGGAATCCGAGTATTCGAGTATTTTTTGCAAAATACTGAAAGGAAAAATTATTTGAAATGAAAATGTGACCGAAATCCTTTGTTTTAAAGATTTTAGATAAAAGTATTTTTTCCCTCAGAAACTAATTCATTAATTGCAAAATCATTCCTTGAAATTATTAAGAACACTAATAAATACAATAAAAAACTGGGGGTGACACTGAAAATTGTAGAAGAAAGACATTTTAATCGTAAAAGTTTTCTTCGAAAATTTAAATTAAAAAATACTAGCAAAAACTTTTTTCAGCTTAAAATTATTTTGTCTCACAAAACCATTTAATAATGTTCATAAAAAGTAGATGAAAATGCTTAAATTTAAAGAAAAAAAATCATTCAAAATGTACCGAGTCCCTTGTTGCGTTGAAGCCGATATGCATTTTCTTAACTTTAGTTTTAATTTGAACGATATTTCTGGAATACCTAGCATCAGATAACCTTCTCTGTATTTCTCTATTAATTTCCGTATCTTGTACAGTTCTAATTTTGGGGGGCATGCTATCACATACACTAAAATTAAGTGAATCGCGCAGTATAGTACGGAAAATCTCCCCATTTGCCCTGCTCCCGAGAGGTAAGGAACATTCAACCAAGTTCTACCTCCAATTCGGCGAGGCAGTTAATGCCTCTCCCACGCTCTTAGTGATCAATTTGTGAAAATTCAAAATTTCACATTTTGTATCAAAGCAATTGTTACTTTTCAATAAGAATAATCAAAAACTGCAGATCAGGCAATGGGTACGATACGAACGATTAGTGGATAGAAGACAGATGCGAGAGTGGTGATCCATGCAGAGATAAATAATCCTTATAAGTCCTGTGATCCATGCCTCACTACGATTCAATACAGCTTACGTGGAGATTTCCATCGAATGGTCTCTCGCTCTCTGCTCATATTGCTTGGCTTGTGTTTAGCTATGACTTTGGTACATAATTTAGCGAAATGCAGATTTTCAGTCTTTATAATTTTGAAAAAATAAAGGGTTTGAAGCTATATGTTGAGATATTTTCTTTCAATACCAGAAAAGCTATATGTTCGGAAATAAAACTGGAAGTGACACGTCGATTCGAAGGTGGCAGGGGGAAGTTAAAATCACAAATTCCTTAACGTCAAAATCTTCAACTATACGAATAATTCTGCAAAATTAAATCTACAACATTATCAGATATGTTAGCATAAAAGGGATGAAATGTCGGAACTTTGTTTTTGAAAAACCATTGCATTTAACCATTTGTATCCTTCACAAAAGGTTAAGTAATTTAATTACGGCACAGCCTGGAGGGCTGTCTGCTTAAAGGGAATGCCTTCGTAGAGGACTTTCTAAGGGAAACTAGCTCGTATACACGTTACACATTGGAAAAACCACTAAAACACCCATGCAGCCAGTCCGTTCGCGGGATTCGAAACTCTGACCGAACTACCAGTGTTCAGCGACTTTACCGTTCGGCCGCTGGTAGGCTTCCTTCACAACAGAGAAATTTTTCTTAAGTCAGAATAATGGCAAAATCTAAAAGCACTTTTAGTTTTCTGCAAGAAACTGGTAATACACTGAATGTTTCGGGGGCTAGTTGAGGACGGTTTTATAGATTCAAGAAATAAATCAGTATTCACAATTTGAGGATTACTGACAATAAAGCTAGGCAAGTATTTCCCCAAAGTTTAGAGAAAATTTTTACTGGTGGGAACCTTTCACAACAAGCAGTCTTCAATGATAAAAGTAATCTACTTTGGAAGAAGAGGCTATCACGTGCACACATTTATGACAAAAAACCTACTTCTGGATTTAAACACTCATCTTTTCTGGACACTTTTCTTGTTTTAAGGAGGTAACGTCAAAGTGATTTTGAATTCAAGTGCTTGTGTATCATTCTGAAATATTACTGCTATTGAATAGAAGAGACAAATCAACACATTTCGTGATTTAGCGATCAACCAGAAAAGCGGGGAGTCAACACAAGTTTTTGAAGATTGATTTATAAGCGAATTTTATTCATCAGTAAAGGCGCTATTGTAATGAGAACTTTTACTAAATTCGCTCTTCCGACAGATTAAGCAAGAGGGCACCAAAACATTTGCCGCCAAACAGAAGGTCAGTTATACAATCTATGGATCAGTGTGCAATACTCAACTTTTAAGCAAGTTATTTGCGACAAACGTTTTAATATTTGACAAAACTGACTAATGAAGCACACGAAGCGAGAATTTAAACATGCTTGGAACAAAATGACTTCAAACTATGCGTAGTTTCGAAAAACGTTTTTTCAAAGAAATTGGCGAAATTATTTTCGAAACTATAGAGCAATGAAATTAATGCTCAGATGTAGGAAAGAAGTTTAATGCATTAAGAATTTACTGGAAATATTATGAAAAAAAGCCTATTCAATGAAGAAACATTTGACATAATAGAAATGGATCAGAAAGCAATTCACGTGTTGAAAATTGCTTCAGAAAACACAGATGAAGAAAAATCGAGAGATTTATAGTTTTCTCGAAAAACAGCATTGCAACTCGTAACGAAAATACACGAGTTTTTGGAGCATGATCCAAATTCAGATCAAGGGTAAGAAGAGGAATTTTAAATTAGTTAATAAAGGATTGAGGCAATAAACAAGCAAAACAAATCGCCTCCAATTTCTTTGCAAAAGAAAATTTCTTATATTCGGTAACGAATTAAGAATTCCCTTTTTTGTTAAAGTTACATACGCGATTAGTCATCAATTGTGTACATATACAGAAAACTATTCATTTTTTTTTAAATTTTGAAACACTTTTTTATTACCGTTTACTTGATTGCATTTGATTTTTTTGTTTCCAATACTTCCATATGGCAAAAAATTAATAGATTCCATTATTGTTTATTCGATTCAACTTTCTTTTCAGAGATTAGGAGAGTAAAAATCTGGGTATTGTTACATTTCCAAATTTTAGTTGAAAAGCTCTACCCTGAAATTATGCAAGTATCTGGGGTATAGACGGGCACTTATCTAATAAATACACAGTCTCCGGTAAGTCTTTCTTAGGCAGGGAGATACACGTGTTCTTGAAGGTTTCACTGCAATCCTACAGTCTGAACATGATTCCTATTTAATAAACAGTTTGAATACAATTTTCATCTCTTGAATGAACCTGAGAAACAACTGTTTGAAGATAGTTACAATCTAACAAACGATTTCCAGAAAATTAAAATTTCTTCGCAAACATCATTTGAATTACAAGTGCAAGAATAATGTTTACTTACCCAGTGTCCTCCATTAGCTCGTTTGGGTAAGTCATGCCTGAAATAAAACAATTTACAACTGAAGAGAAACGTCAAAAGCAAAACACCAAGCACGGTAGAAGTTTCCACGCATTTTATGCTGGAAATTATGGTTCAAAAGAAATTGTTTTAATCAAATACTTACCCGAAGAGGTACCAATCATATGCTACCGTGAAGTAAGTCATCTCTATAGGATTTAATGATTTGTGGATCAAGCCATCAGCCCAAAGTGACAAACGTAAAAGGGTTATGAAGAGTGGAGTCCTATCTATACCAGTAATGCAATGGACAAGGGCTCCCTTTTCGCCTGGGAAAATGACTTAATGTTAACTTATGCAGTTAGTAACAACTTTAACAGTTAGCTGATACATACAGATGCAATTAGCGAGATATTTAATTAGAAGTCAGCAATCATATATAGCACATCCTGATTCAATTATATTAATGAATTTCTCAAGAACTAAAACAATTTTAATACGAATATTTTAATAAATCTTAAATTACAATAAAAGATATTTAAGGTAACATTCGTTTCCTATTATATACATTCAAGTCTTGATTGCATAAAATTTACTTCCAAATTTTTTAACATTAATTTATCTTCCACTTTCATGTAAATTCGTGATAGGGAAAAATACTGATGCGATACCAGAAATTCAGTTCAGGGTTTTGAAGCGTCTTAATGCATTCTCTAAAAAACTTCTAAATTCAGCAAGTTTCCAAACTTCCGCTATTTGATTCCAGGCCACTATTTTAATAGTCGAACCTCAATCCCGAACAAATTATATAAAAGAAAAGACTCAACTGACGACAAGCGTCTAGTTAGAAACATTAAAGTCTGTAAAAAATGTCTTTCCAAACAGTTTGAAGTAACTGGTAAACAGAATTAACTCTCGAGGACTTGTTGAAAGATTGATATTTTCTTTTGCTTAATTCCCATTTATAAAACCTGACAGCAAGTAACTTACAAAAATATGAATTCGGCCTGAAATCTGGAGAAAATGATCAGTTGGTATTGGAGGCAAACAACTCTTAATTTTAGACTTACTATACAAAATATTGCAACTATAAGCAAGACCGAGGGCTTTGAATTTACCAGTGAAGATAGGAAATTCCTAGAAGATCATAAACACAAGCTCAGCTAGTAACTGCAATAACTTTACAAATAGTAGCAAAAGACGACTGTATAGAAAATATTTCAGAGGAATGGAGAAAAATATTAGTTGTTCGACCTGAGTAACGTTTTACAAAAAGTTGGTAGGATGCAAAGTTTCAGTTAACGATATCACCCACTTAAAGCAGTAACAAGCTACAATATATGAATCTTCAGTGACAATGTAATGTCACTTTAGGACATGACATTGAAACATTAGGAACATTTTAAACAAAGCTAACAAATCACATGGGACAAAAGTTTACTGAAAAGAAGCACAAGGAGTGTCAAGTAGGCAAATGGCCCTAAGATAAAAAAAATGCCCCAAGGACACAGTTATCAAATGCTTTCATAGAAAGGGACTTCCACACATATATTAGCGTCTCTTCTCTTCCTCAGTACTCCACGCTTATTCTGTTCACTTTTCTTAGTACAGATATTTCAAGATTACATTTTTGACCATCATCTCTGTAAACTAGAGAAAATAAAGGCTTAATATTGTGTTTATATTGTGGTGCAGTGGCCGAATCCACTACGTAGATCTCCTAATGTAATCCAGGGTTGAAATAAACTTCTAACTCAAGTTCTAACAATAAAATGACTTTTCCAAAAATCGTTAAAAATTTCCATTCATGTCGTTGTGGAACTTGGATACATTCGGTTCCCCAATTTCAGAAATTTTTTAAATAGCGAATGTGCGCGATCAACAGCATGCACGAGGAATGTTAGTTCTAGCGGGTTAAAACACCTATAAATCTAGCAGAAAGGTTCTGAATTTTCTCAGAAACCACCTTCCTTTCTAACTGCCAAATTTTACTAACTCACGGGTGTCGTGACCTTCGCTGAATTCCTGAGGGGGGGAGGAATTCCTCCACCCGTACATAACAAGGGTGTCCCCCCTCCCAATTCCTGTGAAAGACTATTTCCTCGGACCTTTGGAGTGACTTTTTAGGTTGAAACCATAGTAATTAACAAAGGGACCGCGTTGCAACATGATTTCTCCTCTGATGTGAAAGAAGTACCATTGTATCCGGAAATCGGACCCTCTGGACAACCAGGCAAAGAACATCTATGCAAACATGCCACAATATTTTTCTGTCTTAGAATAATGACTTCTTTTGCTTTTGTTTTAAGAGTTTTACGAAAAGTAATATAATTTAAGCAAGTAATATGTCGCCAAAGGACAAGCGACTACACCCATTACGAATCCATTACATCTATGAGAAAAAGTTTTCATGACGAACGACCTTCAGAAAGCAATTGTATTCATGAATTAAAGCTTCACCGTATCTAAAATATTATACAAGCAAAGTATGAAATCATTTTAAAGCACAAAACTAGGTTTATTCCCCGATTACAAATTACGGAATTATGAATTAAATTCCAAGTGCTTAAAATAGCATTAAGTAAATTATACTCACTTAAAGCTATATAGTGCAATAAGAGCAAAAGATAATTTTCAGTGAGAACAAGAACTTTCCACTCCTAGGAAATAAAAATACAATAAGATTAAATACATAAACTAATTATAATATAGATTAACATACCCAAATTGCAATAATATCTAATTCAAGATATGCAGGGAGTTGAAATCCGTTTCATATACTGGAGATAGATCTCAATGTGCAATGATCGAAGAGGAAATTTATACGAAGTCAAAATTATAAGAGCGATTTAACGAGGTTTATAACTTCGCAAGTTTTCTTGATGACTACGTATAATTTCAGCACATAAGTAGAATGCTTCATGAAGAAGCGTATTCGATAACTGTAGATATCTGCTTATATAAGCTGGATTACTGTGAAGGAATAAATAAATTTTCTGAAACTATTCTCTACAACGCTGCCATTCTTCATCTAAGACAGAAAAACCATCGAATGTGCTTTTATAATGTTTGCTAGTCAAGGCATTTTAAGCATTGAATTTAGCTATCAGATCTCATTCAAACTCGTAGTGTGAACAAATTTTTCTCGAGATGAAAATTCGCTTGAAATTTTCTTCAAAATTCATCCGACTGCACCTGCCTACACTACCACCACAACGGCGAATTAATATCTATCAATCAAGATGACAAAGACTTTCCTCAAGAGACAATGGCTTAATGGACAAATATTTCGGAAAATAGTTTACAATAGCTTCAATGGGCAATGTACATTGCAGCTATTGTAATTCCATCGTTTGGCTTTGAGAAAGGTATTGAATTTCTTATTAAAGATTGTTTTAAGGGAGCTTTACAGGCAGCTGCTAACGTTCTGACAGTTTAGCTAGTTCCACCTCTGACACCAATGTATATAGTTGCTCTGCTCAGATCGCTGTTTTGTATTTACAAAAATAGCGTGTATATTTTCCTACTTTGAAAATTTTGCATGTTAAGACTAGAGCATATGCTCTAAAGTCTGCCTTTAATATGCAGATTGGAATCTTTGTGAAATCATTTGACTCAAGCAACTTAGACGGGAAATGAATTATTTGGGCGAATGCAAAGGGAAGCAAGTTAGATTTCCACAGGTTTTAAGAATTTCATGATCGTTTCCATAAACCTGGAAAGCGACTACACCCGTTGCGAATGCATTTTTCTGCCAGAGATCCCGATAATTGTCGACATGGAACAAGTAACGACTTACCAAGCTACTACGTCGCCTACACAACCCTTCTGCGGACAACTACAACCCTCGTGCGGACACTAAAACCCTTCTGCGGACACTTAAAATAAATTCAGAGTTCTCTGGGACAACTGAAGACTCAGAGCCGTCGAACTCTGGTAGTTAAACGCAGAATCCCCATCCAGTCAGGAAAGAAAAAAGACGTTCAAAATCAAACCAATGGACAATCGAAAGCAAAGGACCAAATCACTTCATGCTCAATATATACCGTTGCCTTATTATTCGGAAGATATGCTCGACCAAGAGATGGCACACGAGATTGCCAAGGAGCAATTTTAGTCCTCCGCAGGCATCGCAACCAATTAGGGACTGTTGGACACAGCAACCTTACCCTCAGCCAAAACAATTCCCAGTCTGGAAAATCTAGACACAGCCAAACACAAAGGGGCTTCCAGTAACCTGACTATAAAACGTTTCACATTACAATAGACTTTACCCTCATCTGGAAGCAAATGACGAAACTTCGAGGACGCTTACCAATACAAAGAAACATACTTTCCGACTACCAATTTGTCAAAGGTTTTCTCACCAGACTTTTAAGCCCACGGAAGTAATCATTGAAAAGAACATCAAGTATTTCACACAGAGGCTATCTGATTAAAAGAAACCGAAGATAGTCACCCGAAATTATACTCCGCGACTGAAGTTACAGATGTACTCGATTTCGGTTTATTTGCTAATAGCAAAAGCACGCTAGTGCTGTCTCCCTAAGGAAAGGTATGCCTTCGTGGAGAATATTCTAAGGGAATTAGCTAGTTTTCACATGAAGAGAACCACGACGACACTCATGCAGCCATTCCATTTGCTTGCAATCAAACCTAGATCGGAACAACCTATGTTCAGAGACTTCGTAACCCAAATCTTGCTAATAAGGAAGTGGAAGACAAGGAACACTAAATTGTAAAGCAATTAGTTTTGAAAAGCTGTATTCGTTTTGAAAAGCTGTATAACTCGGCCACGTATTCCTTCACGTGACATGAAACGTCAGCACATAATACGGAGGTATAACCTACGAAATTTTTCGGAAACTTTCCACTCCTCTCCATCTCATGATCGAGTCTTGCCCCCAAGAGAAATATCTACACAGCTATTATCCAGCTAATTTTCACTTACTCCTGACCTGTTTGGGACCTGCAAGAAAAATGACCTGAAGGAAATAAAAGGTCTCAAAAACAAGGTTTTGAGGATAAACACTGGTGCTTCGTAAAGATCTGAAAATTGAAGCTGTAGGATTACCTTAATTTTTGTTTCTTTCTACACCAAGGGTGCACTCAACAGCGCAGAAAATTTCATTCAAAGTTTGCTCTATGAAATTACCCCAGAAGACGTTTTTGTTTGTCTATATGCACCGCATCTTCTAACATAATTAGATTCATTTAAATATGCAGAACCCTTCAGTTTCATGCAAGTAATCTAAATTATGCAAATCATATTATTGTATATATTTCATTAAAGTCATACCATTTCTTTACGGTATTGTTTTGAAAGTACAGTATTGGCGCATTAGTGTCATGACAATCGTGTTTGATAACACAGCTTACCAGCTTGAGACATTGCACCAGTTTCCCCGCGAAGTTCACGTGAGCTGAGATCTCAACCATCTCATTTTCAGACTTGCACCATATCTCTGGGTTTCACACTGTGCCTAAAGTTTCTTTCCTTTCTAAATGTTCTGGGAATTATGTTCTAGAAAGTATTGTTATGCAACATTAAAATCTCGCACGTTACTTGGAAGTCTCTTAGGTTCTCTGAAACATCTTACAAAAGAAACAGAAATGAAGGTAACCTTTGCAGTACCTCAGATTTTTTACATAATTTTACAGATTTTCAGAAAGGCATTCCAAGTTAGAGATTTCTAAATTATTTCAGAAAGGCTTCTAAATTATTCGAAATTTATGCATTTAAAGAAATACATTAGTACGCTATTTCTCGAAGGAAAAAGTAATGACGATAGAATTTAAAATGGCTGCAAGGAAATTTTATAAAAATCACAATCAAAACAGAAAATATTAATCGTAAATTCGTAGTCATTATCAATTAAATAAAAATCAGATCACGTATGTTTATATTAAATTTAACTTGGTATTTTGAAGTCATTTCAGAAGTCAAACACATCCAAGATTTCTTTGTAGTAATAAGGTTATCTGGTATTAATATGAAAGCTTTTAAAATATTTCAATGCCTGGTTCGAGTAATTCATAAAGAACTTCCTAATTTTTAACCCAAAAATTCTTGCATTTCTATTCTTGCATTTCCCGGTAACAGCTTACTCCGGCTAACAAGTCAACTCAGTAATTTTTTTACGGTTAGTAAAGGCGTCACTTTAGTGAGGTATCCCTCCAACTATCCAAAAAAATTTTCCCGATAGTTCTCATTATGAGGTGGTATTGTGAGAAGCTTGTGGTTAAATAAATCTAGTAGCATAAACAAGAAACTGTGTGGCATAAAGAATTCATTAAAAGACGAATCCTCGTGTGGAAAATTTACGAGCTAAGATGTTAGATGTTTCATTAGAAGATAAGATTACAAGATTTCGCCTCATTTGGCTATTACGTAAATTATTTTATCCACTTTGATATTAAAATGTAAAATACAAAGGGAAGCAGAACACTATCAAATTAAATATATCTACATTATAAATATATGTCAGTACAAATCATATTTACCTTGGTAATAACTAAAGTCTATCCTTGGAGGTCTTATAAAATCATCGGCAGGCACATGAAATCTGAAGCGACGCCTTCTCTAAAAATATATTGAAATTTTAGATTATACATTTTTGTTCAGAATAAAAATATTCAACATACCTAAATGAGAATTATAAAGGCTAGAAGAGTGAATTATAAATTGCTCTTTTATACAGTTTATCAAGTTTATCTTCATCCTTGCGTTAGTTTAGTAAATCGTCATGATCCATGGTACCTTTCAGTTGACGGAGTCATTCGTGAATATGCACAATGTGTAAATACAACTAGTTGATTTTACATCATAAAGTGTTAGCTGTGAAATGACGACGTACGAATAACAGGGAAGAATGAATATAAAGAAACTAAAGGCAAGAGACCAAAGTCACAATAGCACTTATGGTAAACGTTAGAAAAAATGGAGGTTTCTCTAAATACGGGAAATGAAACTTTTTATAGTGCGTTGAGTTGATTTTAACAATTTTCCACTGTATCCTTCCACAGTTATAGACCCCTTTCTAAAATGTTTTTTTTTTTTTTAACTGATTGAATTAAGTTTGTATATTTTTTTCTCTTCGTTTTTGATAAGAGTTTTTTTGTTCATCATTTAGTTAAAAGTTTCGTCAAGAGCCATTTTCTCCTACTAAATAGCTTTCATACAGGGTTGTACAAGTTGTTCTGCGTCGAGACACATACCTCGGAAAATGCTGGTGATAATTATATTTAGCTTTGTTGTTAGAATGTATTTAAAGGCTTCGCAACAGACTTCTTCATAAGCGGATGGTTATCAACAATTTTACTTCAGAAAAATTAAATGCAGTTCGCACCTATTTCGAGTATTCGTTTGGATTGTCTATTCATGTACATGTAATGATGCAGTATTTTCCTTTATGATAAATATTGTTATTAATTTTGTGCTAGATATGTATAAGGTACTTCAGACTAAAAAGCAATCAGTGATAAATTAGAGATGTTTACGTACATTTAGAACAATTTTGAAAATAAAGAATTGAAAAAGAATATGATTGGTTTTAGAGTGTGAAGTTCCCTTAGTAATGTGGTGTTTGCTACTCCTTCGGCAGCAGTGTCCGCTCACTCATTATCCAATTCCTACACTAGCTGGAAGCAATGAATACAGCTTTGAGAGACCGCATTCATAGTAGGATAGTAAAAATGTTCTGCTATTGGATTCCTTGGACTGACCCCGGCTATTGCTGCTAGACTAGAGGAAGAGCGAGTGTAAACGTGCTTGGAAGCGTTTAGATAGTTTCTCATAAAATAGCAGTTTGCTCTAATAGCAGTTAATTGAGCTTGGAACACTGAATTTTCCAACTCCTAGTTTCAGTTTCCACACATGAGTCTTCGTCACCCTATAAGAGAACACATAACTAACTCTTAGCGTCTTCTACAGTTTTGGAGCTATCCTTATATACATCTTCTAGGCATTGATTTGCAGTGTTCTGTTAAGGTGAATGATCTCGACAAGATTATGTTCAGCTGGATGGCAGGGGAGCTGAGGTTTTCGTTGCTCAGTCTGTATTACCTAGAATTGCCCTTAAAGATTCGTTTCGTAGCATGCTGGAAACATTTAATATAGTTGGCTTATTTTTCGACATAAACCTAGTAGTGGCATGCGTGACGTAATCTGCAAAGTTGCTGTAGTAGTACGGTACGGCTTGCATACAACAACCTGTTGATTCCATTTATGCTGTCAGTATTTTTCCAGATTACTGATGAGTATAAAACAAGTTGTTCCATCCACTTGAAACTGAAGTATTGATGTTTATTGCTGTACCGATTGGCGTTGGCTTGAATCCCTGAGAAAGCATGAATGTTTATAAGCATAGTGTTCTGTGCGCCAAAAGAGTAAAAGATACAAGAGCCTAAAATCCTCTAGTGTAGTCGGCGGTAGGGGAAGGTGATAGGCGCCCCTTAGACTGTCTCACGAAGGTCTTCAAACCTGAAGCGGAGATTAATAGCTAGGTCGGCAGAATTGCACCTATACTACCAGAGGTGAATAACTAGGGTCTCATCTCATTTATATTTGCACCTATGCAAATGTCGTTGCTGCTCTAACCGGTAAAAACTAGGAAGGCTAGCTGCTGCATTAGATGACATAGGTCGGAATCCCAGTAAAAGCATGGGTGTTTATTGTTGCATAATGTCCAAGGAATAAGACATTTAAAATACTGGCTAGCCTAAAGTCCCATAGAAAGCCTTGACAGTAGGGTGGGGGCCCTCGAATAGGTGCACTGTGTTGTTCTGCATCAAAACCGTCATCTGGACAGGTAGTGTGGTAGGGACCATATTTGTAAATTTTCAACATCCTTTCACTACTCTCATAAAAGTGCTTCATTTACTGTATTGGAGGAGTTTGATGTATAAAATAGTGTTTGTTTTCATTCATTGCACATTTTGATAGGTAATTTTGATTTTCGTAAGCTTTTAAACAACCATTTTTGAAGAAAAATAAAATACATTTCTTTTCGACTTAATTAGTGGAATATTATTGCTACAAGAAAAATGCACCAGAATGTCTAAAAGAATTTTCTGATAGCATCGCAATTTAGTGTGTAGTGACTAATATATAGTATATTTTTAAGGTTTCTGGTATGTGTCTTGAATGGTTTAAAAATTAAAATAAAAATCTTTAGAACATTTTGTAAGATACAGGAAAGACCTTGTTGAACTCTACTACTATGAATAAAAACGTTTAAAAAGCACAAAAATATTTGACATTTGGCGCCGAATAAGGTACGAAAAGAATCCAGAATCATCGGTCCCGACCAAGTGGTGTCAGCAAAGTGAAATATTAGAATAACGTCTTAAGGTTAGATTGTTCTTACCTTTGCATAGAATTATAAAGTGTACAAGAAGTGCTAAAGGCAAGAAGTTTACATTCTTTATGTTAAAATGGATAAAATGAAAACTTTTAGAACATCAGTAACTAACATTGTAAACAAAGCGGATGATATAAAAAATAAAAGCGATACTGAAAATTTACTAGGTCTTTAGAATTTTTAATTGAAAAAATAAAATTTATAAGAAATTGTATCTTTGATAGAAGATGAAACGTAACTGAAATTTAAAGTTCTATGAATTATACGGATGGAATAATTTTATGTAAATCTAAATAAAATAAAAAGATAAATAGATATTAAAAACCTAGTTCTGAAAACAAAACAAACTCGGATATTAGGTCAACTGAATATAAGAGTGAAAACCATATTCGCCTTCCTAAATTAGAGATTTCTAAATTTTATGGTGATGTCAGTCAATAGACAAGTTTTGGGGAATCGTTCCAAATCGCGATAAACGATAATATTGCCCTTTCCAAAGTAGAAAAATTTAACTACTTAAAATCCTACTTCAGTGTAACCCTACCGCCAATATTACAGAAGATTTTTCATTATCTGAAGGAAATTACGATGCAGCAATACAAATTTTAAATAGATTTGGAAAACGATGTTATAACTCCCATATGCAAAACTCGAAATCTCGAGACTTTACCGATCAAGTGACGTTTCAAAACTAATAAAATTACATGATACTATAGACATTCAAGTCTTTCTTTAAATGTCAATCCCGAAAGTTGTATGTTGATCCCAGCTTTATTTAGAGTAATTCTAGCAGTTTAAGATTGGAAATGTAGTCATAGGAATGATGAGACAAGTTTTGATATAAATTTATTTCCTCAAAAAAGAATTACAAGCTTGAGAGAGAACAAACGCGTTTAATAAAGATATAATGGCTGTACAAAATCGAAAAGTAAGTTTACCCCCAGAAAGGTCTTACGAACATATGTAGATAGTTATCAGCAGCATATAAACTGAATAACGAGAAGCCTTACACTGTATCGTTCGTGGATAAAAGTTTATTGTTTGATTCATTAACCCACGACACAGGAAATTGTTCAGAAATTGACATAGGCTCGAAAAGAAAAAATGAAAGACAGGGTCAGTATTGCAAATTCTTCGGCAAGAGGCATATGGTAAAAGATTACAGAATAAAAATTTCTGCTATTAATTACGCAGTAAACCTCATCATACGTCTTTGAAATTAAGAAAAGTAAAATTTCGAAATTTATAAACAATGCAGTAAAACCGAAAATCATGTACCAAATGATGATTTAATGAGTTTGGAAGATAGGTCTAACAAAATTAAGTCATTTTGGTTCTTTAATTACGGTACAAGTAGAATGTCATAATAAAGTGTTGAATGCTAAATTGATACTGCCACTCGGATCAGTATTATAAAGACTACACTTGTACAAGAGTATTGTAGAAAGCCACGTGGAAGTGCAATATTAAAATCTGCTTTTGGACAGAAGGTTAATGCACTTTTAATAAATGTAAATTTAGTGATGAGTTCACAACCATATACAGTATACGCACCTTTACAGTCGTAAGTGTTACAGCTGATAATCTAGTACATGATTTACTATTAAGTTTTAGTGCTAATAACGCACCGATTGCATCTAAAGGTAAAATTTGGAAGTTGTGTTAATACTACTCTGAATGTTTATGAAATTCAACGGTCTCATGATGATACTCCTGTTAGTTCTGATGAAGAGGATGATCCAAGTGATGTACTGCAAGCTGGTCAAAAAACTGAGAAAGAGGCCGACTATTTAAATGACTGAAAGGCCAAGAAAAGACGTTCCAAATGATGTTAAGGAAATGCCATTTTTCAGAACGTTTTGGAATTATCCAAACCTACAGAAATATACCCGAGACTATTTTAGAGAAGTCTAAAGGAAAATATAAAAATGATGAGATCCCGACTTATGAAGAAACAGATATTGCAGTGCTGAGTGATTATGAAAATGATGTGTAAAAGCAAAAAAAGTTTGAACATAACTATAATTTCTGATATGAAGATCCGGCTTCAAAATTCATTAAACGATATTTAAGGAGGATTGGAAAATGTCTGAGAATTGTTTATAATAAAAGAAAGATCCCTGAAAAAATATATTGAAAGAAAAAAGGTTAGATTTTAGATCAGAAAAAAAGGAAACGTTTGAAAGCTTTGAAAAGAAAATGACTGAAAACTTTTAAAGCTGAAAGAAATGCCTGGAATAACATGAATTGAACCTTTATGAAAATGATACTGAAAGTGATTTTGCTCCTGAAAAACATAACCAGAAAACGAGAGATCTTTTTATTGATGATTCTTATGCTATTCAAGAAAGATATCCAAAATTTATATACGGTGAGGAATTCTATAATGAAGCCTGGGACCATTAGATTGGAACAAGTAAATGTAATGAATGCGGTTAAGAACAGCTTGAAGTAAGCGTTTCTGAAAAATCAGGTGTGGAAGTTACAAATTCTAAGTTATTCTAAATCAGAGTTTGAGAAAGAAAGATTGAGTTAACACGCAAAGAAATGATAAAGGTTCGGATGAAATCCTTACTTGTTAAAGTAATTTCTAAACCAGTTTTGATCAAAATGGCAAAACGTTTGATGACTATTTGGATGAGTATTATAGATTAGATTTTGAAGATGTAATAAGTCAGCCATATTCAGATATAAGAAGGTAGTGCCAAAGGATAGACAGTTTACGAAATTCTTGTAGCTGATGACAGATTTAAATCCTATGTTTTAAGTACCTATGTTTGTATTAATATATTCTTTTTTAGATATTGTTCATTTAGTCGATTTCAAGTATTAGTTTTAATTGCACTGTTTGAGCACCCACTTGAATAGGGAGGTGGGAGACACTGGCATCCTCCATGAAGAATGAGGACGCCAATGCCATCGAAATGGAGAAAAAGCAGTAAAACGGACCACGTGAAACAATTACGATTATTATGTAGTACTTCAAAAGGGGTCACTCAGAACACTGAATGGTTTAAAACATTACAAAAATCTTGAGAGAAGAGATTTGTAAAATACATGAAAAACATAGTTGTACTGTATTACTCTGAATAAAAACGTTTAAAAAGCATAGGTGTATTTGATGTTAGAGGCTAAATAAGGTATAAAAAACAGACAATTATCGGTCACGACACATATATAGAGTGGGCAAAAAGTATTCGGAATTGTTTACAATTGATCCTATTAACTAATAAAAGTAATGCTTGACAATTTTCGCTGGATATAACAAACATAGGAAGTAATAAGTACACAAATGTAATGAAACTCATTTTAACGAGTCTTCTATACAAAATATGCAATAAAATCGTAAATTTGCATGTCAAAAGTATTGGCAAAGTTCTAACTACTATGCAAGTTTTATTATGTTGAGGTCACATGTTTAGACTGATAAGAAACCCTGTTAGCATAATGTCTGCAGTACTTTTTTAAAACGTTATTTTGTTAATACTGTGATAAAATGGCTTCGAAGTCGAAAGGTTTGGGAGTTAACGTTAAAAACGTGATTATTCAGCTCAGAAATGAGGGTCTAACTTATCGTGCTATAGGACTACAACTGAACTGAATAGTTTATTTACTGTTCGAAGAGTTGAAAAACGTTCAACGAGACAGGATCGACAGAAAATAAGATTAGAAGTGTACGGCTTCTAGCATTTTCTGCAAGGGAAAACACGTGGCGTTTTCAAAGAGATAAAGAGAAATCCTAAAATAAGTGCACCCCGGTTAGGCAAAGATATTGCTAATACTTCGCATAAAACTTTTAGTGCACAGACTATAATAAATGTTTTTACATGAAGGAATTTATTATGGAAGGCCAGCTAGAAAGAAACGTTTTAATTTCAGAGATAAACAGGAGAAAAAGATTTTCTGTTCTAAAACTCGTCTGCTAAATCAATAACATTTTGCAAAATCTCATTAATTTAACAGATGAGTTGTAGAATAGAGTTATTTCTCCAAAGTATCGAAGTTCAACATTTTCGGAAAAGATGGACGACAGTATATGTGGAGAAATCCAAGCTCCGAAATGAAAAAAAAAATCACTTAACACCGACTGTGAAATATGGTGGAGAGAGCGCCGTAGTTTGGGGCTGTATGGCCGCACACCATACAAGCAGAGTTGGTAATCTGCTTTATTGATGGTATTATGACAGCACGTACGTACGTTGACGTATTGCGCCATAATTCAAATTCAGTGCCTCAAACCTTGGCTTAGGAACATCATTTGCATTTCGGCAATGCAATGACCCTAAGCATACAGCGAACCTCACCTGGGAGTAGTTTCTCTAACCCCTCACCCGCATTTCCAGTTAAAGACACCGCCTCAATCATCCGATTAAACATTTATGAAAATTGAACGTAGAAGTCAGGAAACAAAATTTCGTGTATAGATTATATTAAGCTTATACACCTGCAAGAATGGCACAAAATTCCCCAATAGTACAACCAAGACTTTTCCCAATAGTACAATGGTTTTCTTTGTGAAATAGATTAAAAAAGCTGTTTAAATGCAACTGGTATGAATACAAAGCATTAAATTTTGTTCCCACATTTTTACTGTATGATCTTGCCCAATACGTTTTGACAAGCAAATTTACGTTTGTTGTATATTTTGTGTTAAAAATTAAAATGAAAGTGTCGTTAGATTTGTACGTTTACCTCCTGCGTTCTTTGTGTCCAGCATTTCCTTTATTAGCTAATATGATAAATTAGACAATTGCCAATACATTTTTTACCCACTGTATAATATCTTTTTAATGTTTCTATTATATATGTGCTCAGTAGCTGAATACTTCTCAAAAGTAGCAAACCGAAAAGATTGTGAGACAGTCCAATTCAAAATCAAATGAATCAACATCGTTTTGAAGTTTCTCGTCTCTTACGAAATCGAGTCCGCCACATTAAAGGAAGATATTTAGAGAACGGTCAAAATTTTCCATGTTTAGTGTGTTTCTTATGCACGCAGGCTGAAGAGTTTTGACACCGATCTCCTTCGAAATCAGATGCCTCTACGCTCCGCATTTTCCCAATGAATTACATTTTCCAGAGTCTAACGTATTTAAAAACTGGGCATCCTACTTAACACTGCTGGCGTTGACTTTCATTTTCTGATACGAATGAAACCTCATCCTGCGCAACTGTCTTTTCAATTCTCAGCAAGCCTATCAATCACGAGTTTTAAAATTTTGATTAGAAGACATCTAGGTTTGACAGATCGACTTCAGATGGTGCGTGCAAATGCCATAGTAAGCAGTCGAGCATTGTCCTGGTACAAAACCAACATTTCTTTAACAAGTCCGGTAATACCTTTCTCATCCCCAGGCAGATGATTTCAAGACGCTTTCGTAACAGTTATTCCTTATAGTCTGCCCAAGAGTGTGTAATATGGACAATGCAGTGGATTACCTGCCAAAATGTATTTGCGTGTAAGCATCCTGAAGGACTTGTACCCCTGAAACACTAAACCATAGTCTGAATACGATGAATCACGCAACTATAATTTCAAGTTATATCCCTATCGTATATAACAGAAATCTTTACTCGCCTTATGAAAACTTAAGTTACTTTCACTCCCTGTGACCGAATACTAGAAGGAAAGTCTGTCCAAATGCAAGTTTATACAATCTTCCCACAACTTAAATGCCATTTCCAATGTCGGAACCAGAAATGGAAGCTATTGCAAATCTTTTCAAACAGTCTTAGTATAATACTTTTTATTTTTAGAATAGGATTGCTCTTGCACTAAGCGTATTTGCTTGAGAAGCATCGAAGAAAAGTAATGAGATGTTTTATTTACTTCATCAAGAATCATATGCCAGTTAAATATTCAACGATAGCGTTAGATGAAAGCATAAGAGAATCTTAAATTCAATAATATTCTTAATTAAAATGAACAACAATAGATTTCATATTAAACACGAGTTGGTTTATATGTCATCTATTTGTTTAGGAAATTCAAATTTGAAACATACCGAAGTCCAATCGTAATATAGCTCTTCAATCTCTGGATTGAGGCAGAAGTCTCTAAACGAAGCGACCTCTGAAAAGATTATTAAAGAAAATTAGTTTTAAGCATTTAGAAATATTTCACGCTGAAAGATTTCTTCAACAGTTAAATTATTAACGTATTTCGATAATTATAGAAGATTAAGTTGTGAAATACCTAGATTGTGCCATAAGTACTTTATTTGCATTGAATTTTTAAAGGAACTTTCCTTCAGTTTTAAATCAGATTTGTAGGAGAATATATATTTCAATAAAGCACCGCAATGGATATTTGTGCAAATCTAATTACAGAACAATAAATCTCAGCATCCTTTTACGTTCGTAAGATGGGACGGAGACTTTCAGTTTACTGTTGAAAAGCATCCGATGGTTACTTACCTTAAAGACATCCTGTCACGAAACTTTCTTAAAGAAAACGAGGCTTATTTACATCACAGGTATATCTTTGAATTGTCCATCAGTAGAACTGAGTGCAAAGCTTTAAAACTTAATTTGTAGACACATGGCCATTAGACGATTAGAGGAGAATAAAATGATCTCTTCGTCAAAGAGCTTATTTTTGCATTTATTATGCAAATAACTTTCTTCGGAATTAAGTTATCTAAATTTATAAATTTAGATTTTTCTAAAAGATCAGTTTCTTACAAGTGGATTCGAGCAATGCTAATGATTTGTAATTTAGTGAGAATAATTTTATAGGCTTAGTATTTGTTAGTCAGTTCAGGTTTTTTGTAATCGTGCTGTTTTCTGCAGCTGGTACGGTTTTAAGGAGTTCCTAAAAATACTACAAATTTAAAGCAGCAATAGTACACTTTTTTCAAATTTATAAGACTTAAACATTTAAATTTATTTAACAGATTTAACAAAATCATGTAAGGTGTGCTTATTTAAAGTTTAAATACTCATGCTTATCGGATTTTAAGTTTCATCTTCCTGAAATATTACGCACCTTCTATAATTAAAGCTTACCGATCAAAGAACAAAGGGAATTGATAAAGAGTTTTCTATGACTAGTTTGAATATATGTTAACGAAAAGCATGCGAGCTTTTTTCAAAGAATTTTGACGGCGAAACCAGAAACATTTCTCGGATTACAGAAATAGCAATTTTCCGTTAATGCATATAATATGGTCTTTTAGAGTTTTAGAATTGTTTGCACATACTTTTATTTTGATTCATTCGGAACAGCAAAATGATTAGTTGAGAGAATTACAAGATTGTGCAAGGTAAGACTTAGATTCCCACGTAAAGGATAACTGGCGTATTCTCTACCATGTTACAGAAATAATCTGCTTATAAGGCAAAAGGAGATTGGCTTTGGGGAAGACGTACAAGAGAAACTGCGTCGCATTTATATTCCACATGGTAAATATGAAATATCAAATACAGCCATCGAGTTAGCCAGTATTTAGAACCAAACAATTATTTCCAATTTTCAGCGGTTTCAACCACTTTCTGAGCCACCAGCGGCGAAAGGTAAAGATAATTCAGCTTTTCCCAATCTATTCTGCAAACAGCCATTAAGCGCTTTCGTGATTAGATGTGAAACCGGTGTTGGGTAACATCGAAACATTGTTTTTAGATGTTTAACACAGCTTAAAACAACTTTTAAAAGAAAATGAAAACTAATTTTTCGATAACAGCCTTTGCAAGCAGTCTTCGGCAGCCGAATTTTTACGTTGAACGAAAAATCCAAACATAAACTCATAACGTTTGACGCTGTATCTGATATAAAAATCCAGGCTTCTAGAATTGTGTTAGACATTAAAAAAGTTTTAATTCGAAGACTAGAACCCATCAGAGACATTGCAATTAAAAAATGCTTAACCGTATATATTTGCTTAATATAATTGGATTTATTATCTCATTTTATATAAAATTAAAAATTCAGATATTATAATGCACGATATAAAAATTGGAATAAATGCTTATTTTGTTTAGTTTAATTATAATTTCTCATAGCTGAAACCCCAAATTTAGAGTTTCTTAAAAATTTTGCAATTTGAACAATGTTCCGCAGTGAGGAAGATTTGGGAAACTGATACTTAAGTACTAGTAAATAGACTTAGGTTCGAATATCGATGAGCGGACTGGCTTAATGTGTTTCTAGTGATGTTCTTGTGATACGAGCCATTTTCGTTTGAAAAGGTCTACACTAAGACATGCCTTCTGTCTCAAGGAGATAACATCGCGTCGTTCATTAAAATCATTAAATCAAAGCAACCCATCCGCTTAGTCGCCTTTCTGGGTGGAGAAATTACAATCCGCCTTAGGACGTCTCCAAGCGAATCCTGTATGCTTAATATGGCCAACTTTTGGAAAAGGGAAACAGCATTATTTTGGAAAGAAAAATTTGCACTGCACAACTTACGAAGTTTAGAACTGATTGATAAATTTAGGTATACGAAAACTTACCTGGGTAAGGTACGGAAATTTTTTTGAATTCTGTATAATACTGCAAGTAAACACCTTCTGAAGCATTCACCCTAAAAAAACAAACAAACAAACAAAAAAAAGGAGTTAATTTTAGATAGGGAATTCTTTAATAATTGTTTTCTTATTCTACTTTAAATATACATAGGAAATGTTGGGGTCACTTACGTTGGAGAACGCCTTTGCATTGAGTTTTCCATTCTCAAGTCAAAAATGTAACGTATGTTACAGTACCTCATGACATCAGCATCCTTTATGATTTGTCTTCGGAATTTAACATTCCTAGAAAAAAAGGAATCGGATCTGGGAGTAATAAATCATTGATTGCAAATCGGATAAAATAATATGAAGGTATGTAAGTAGATGTTATACTCAGGCAAATATTCTTTCGGATTGCTGAAAGGTGTAACAATGATCAGCAGTGCTGTAAATAGTAATTTGATTTTACAGGTAATGAAAGCATCTTAAATCGAAAGATCTTCATAACAAGCTCTTAAATTATGTGCTATGGATAAAGCTTTAAATTCGTAATTAATATAGTCATTTAAATAAAAATAATGAATTTTAATATGAACCGTGAAATGTTTTCAAACAAAAATATGCATTCAGGAGAATAAATATTTCAGGTAAACAAATCACCTAGAGTCAGACGAGTCGTAAATCTATAAAAGTGCTGTATCTCTTTCATGGCATCAAGTATATTTGTACAACAAGGAAATGAAAAGTTTTACAGTGTCGGGAATTTATCCAAATTTTCACTGAAGAATTTATAAAAGATCTATAAGATCCTTTCGTACGAGCAGAGGATTAACACAGACAGCAAATTAGTGAGCTTAAACCCTAGTAATAAATCAAGATTCGTCTGTTTATTATTAACATAGATTAAATTTACCGCGAGGAAAGGGCAGTAAGTGTTATAATTTCTCATATATATTTTTAAAGTTTCAAAGCGCAAAACAAAGTTACTAGCCACAGTTAAAGTATTCTTTGGTTGAAGAGTTAAAAAAATTTAATCTGAAAACAGAAGTGAAACACCAGATGAAAACAAAATTAGTGATGCAACAACCTTGAGTTTGGTGTAATTTAGTAGAGATCTCAATCGATTTCGAGAGCAAACAGATAACTCCTCTTCGTCAAGAGCAAAAACGAGAATTTTTGTCGCTCCTGGCGAAGAGGGAACCTGCTTGCTCTCGAAAGATCTCGACAGCAAATTTAAGGTTGTTGCGTTACTAATTTTATTTAAAGTTTTGTCGGTTTCATTAATTTCCCCCCGGGGGGGGTTGACTCAGGCAACCGCTTGAGAAGTATTGGTTAGGATCTGTACCTAGGCAGTCTCAACCACGGGGGTATAATAACACGTTGAGCGCGGCGCCGGTCCTTCAGGACCGGCAGTGAACTTTCCGTGCAGCCGGCGTCGGTCCCTCGGGAGCGGCACTGGAATTTTCGTTTGGCTGGCGTCGGTCCGCGGAACCGACAGTATTAAAGTTAAAAATAAATCAACGAAATCAAATAGTCTCAACGAAATGTGATCAAATTTAGTTTTAATGAAATGTAATGAAACATTCTAAACAAAAATACGGCTTAGATTTACGGCTTAGCTTGCTGCCGGCTGAACGAAAAAGACAGCAAATTCGGCGCCGCGCTCAAAGTGATAACAGACTTCACAGAAGGCCTGAGGGTTCTCAGGACAGAGCAAGGCTCGGCAGGGACCGTACTGGTAATGCCTTGCCTGCCCTTGCTCTGTGGGGTCGCAACATTGTGGATTGATCAAGGGCGGGCGGGGCGGCACTTAATTCCGATAGGCGCTCTATTAGGTCGCATTAGGGCGGAAGCCGTCTCGTTCCATCAGCGTTGTTTCAGTAATTTAAATGTATTACAGAACAGTTTTAAAGAAATCTCGGAAGGAAAGATTATGTTAGTTATATGCCAGATATAGTTTCTCCTTTTCAAATCGCTTGACTAAGACATGTTTACATCAGCAAAGACATTTGTTACAATTATTTCATATGCTTTAGTGCAAGTTCTATATTCAGCACTTTGACTAAGATACTGACAATGTAATTGGACTACATTATTGAACAAATTATTTCCGTTTTACATTTAGCGACAGTAAACATATTCAAAACCAGGTGGGAACATTTCCAGCGAATAAATTCGGCGCAACCGTAAAGCGGAATTTATTCCATTTTATTTAACGAAGTTTTATACAGATTGTATAACGTCCGAATAATGCTCTGCATTCATTTTTAATTACTTTGTATTCCGTTTTTTAGGAAAATTTATTTCAATAAAATTTAGTATTTTTACAAAAAGACTTACATTTTCATTATATTGCCAGAATTGTGTTACTTCTACCAGCAGATAAAATTTCTTTAAAAGAGGCTTTAAAATATTCATTCACGAAAAACACAGCCATTTACAGGGAGTTAAAAGTAGGTAAATGTTTAATACCTCGCATATTTACATTAGAACAAGAATACGATCTTGCATATTATTTAAATTAACTGGGAACACAGCCCATTAGAAAACCGAAATGCAATCATTTGTGTAGTCTCTGTAACCCAAGTTCTAGAACTCAACTGAGAATGCTTTTTGGGTTATTGCGCTTAATTTCAAATACACAAAAGGAAATAATTCTATTTCTGTAAAAGAAATTTCTGTACAAAATGAAAGGAATTCTCCAAAAACGTTATTTCTGTTTTAAATAAGTCGAGAAAATTTACTTGCTTACGCTTTGAAGCTGAAATTTATGCAAATTCAATCCAATTTCACTTTTCTTAAGATGCATAATCTATGCATTTCCAGAAAAACAATAAAAGGAAGACCTTTTACACGTTCACATTATGGTTAAACCACAGGGATTCTTCATGGCCTCTCCTTAGCACTTTCCAAGAGCATTCGAACCATTTTATCAAAAATAACCTAAATTTTAGACGAAATTTCGGTGCGATGGTACTTGCACTACATAATATCCGCTTAAATTTTTTAATTATTGAAGCATCTAATTTAAATTTCCAAATATTTGATTTTAAACTCAATGTACACAGTATCAACAAATTCTCACACGGTGTGTTTTTCTCAAGGGTTAGTTATACACACATACCTCAAATGACAAATATGTTTTAAATAACCCAGTTATTCATTTGTCGGCATGTTATTAAAAATCAGTTTTATAAAAATATAAGAACTCCTCCCCATATTTAAATTTAAGAAATTTCTACTCAAAAAAGTTCAACTTTACTCCAAAAATTAACAGATACTTAATTTCAAAATTTTGGATATTTAACATCATTTTCGACTTGTTTTGAGGATTCGTTTAATAAACTAATAATTATAGTTTACCCCCTTTAAATATCATCCATGCGATTCCAAACGTGTAATTTTCTTTAATATTGTTTTAACTGCTATACCGAAAGATGCCCATACAAGTAATTTATGAATTTTCACACGCTAAAAATTGTGTAACATTTTCATGAAGTTTTATTACATTAGAATCAGTCTAAAACAAAATTTCCTTAACTAAATATTTTAGATTTTTTGATTTCCCAAAATATTAAGAATTGGCTATATACCAGTACTTATGTTATGTATAAAAACCAGCGGAATGAGATTATGCGCCGCTTCGCCGTCAAGACAATTTTTCTTTCAATGCTTATGAAATAATATAGATATATATATCTAGCCATAACATTTAGTTCTATAATTTGGTTTAACTATTTTAAAGTCGAGACATTTTTTAAAATTTTTTCTTCTTTACATGCCTATGTTATATTTTGCTCTATTATATTATTCGGCTATTAATTTCGTTTTGGAATTTCGCATCGAAAACTATCGTCTTGTATTACACTTAAAGAAATTAAATAATGAAGAATCTGCATAAATGTACGTTTCTCGCACTGGGATAAAACGGTACCTAGAGCGATTCAATTTCGAATAACGTACGTAGCTGCCCGAATTTGGAATTTGCTTTATCTACATATTTTGTAAAGCATTTATGAGTTTTTGATTAACTCAACGATTTCAAAGTGAGCAATGGCAACACTGTATGGAAAAAACATTTTTATCTCCAGAGCGTGAGACTATTTCAGAAATTAGAGATTCTCTTTTCATATCTTGGCATATTACTGTTGAATTTTATGGTTTAAGTGTGAAGAATATATTTAATGGATAAAGGTAACGTACAAAATGTAAAAAAGCTCCCCGTTTGGGCGTAATATAAAAAAAGCTTTCAGATTTTTGTTCGATAACCTAGTTTGCGTATTGTATACATCAGATTTCAAATTGAAAGAAAAAGCTTTTGCAGTTGAATGCATCTAGAATTACTAAAATATTTCCCAGAACTGATTATTTTGGGTAATGTGAAGAGTATTTTTGGAGGTTTTTGGTAAACGTGATAATTAGGTGTATTGTGTATATTTAATTGGGTATAGTGAAAATATTATGTCATTAGGTATTAAGTAAATTTTTATTACGTATTTCATTTCTACTTGACGACGAAATAGCCCAAAGCAAATCAGCTGCCGGCGGACTGGCCTGTCTGCGAAAGGGCCAAGCTGAAAAATCCTAGACCCCTATACCAGTAGGTATGGGCTTATATGGAACACAAATTCTTTCACATGATCTGGTCCAGGTTTAATAACGTTTAGATAAAATCCTTGTAGCAGTTTGTGACGTAGCAAGGTCTGTTTGTCTAGCAACCAGCAATAAAGTTTGCCTTATGCCCCTCGTATACGAAATAAAATGTTAATACAATATTGAGATGCAGACAGGAATTAGATCTAAAATAATTCACTTACTGTAATAAATAGATTGCACTATCAATAGTCATCCCGTATTCGAAAAATTTGGTTTCGAAAGATCTGCAAAGATAAACATTTATGTTCGTACAGAGCTTTAATTTACAAAATTTATACAAACAATTCACGAAAATAGGTTGAAGAAAGGAGGAAACTTTATAGAGTAACCTAACAGGTATTTTCTTGAAACTAAATATTTTCATTATAACTCGTGCAAAGACGGTTCTTCGGATCATTCACATGGCAAATACAAAATCTGAACCATCTATTGTTCACTAGTATTGCGATTGGTAATTTAACTGAGAGCATATTGAATTGTCAGTTACCTACAGGAAGCTTTATGAGAATATATAAAATGTTATCCTAGTTCAAATTATAACACCAAATCCTAATTATTTCGGTTGAAGATTAGTGATACAAGATTTTTTGAATGCCTATGAACCAATGCTTAGTTAAAAATCAGATACCAGATTTTTTTTGGATGCAAAACTATCTAGTTTACGCAGATAACACAGCACTTTGATTCAAATAAATAATGTCCAACTTTCTTGTAACATGAAAATGCTGTATAGTTTAATCAGAAATATTTTATTGTTACGTAGAATAAGCACAGTTTAGTAATAATTTAGTCAACTAATGGCGAAACTGGGAGCATGGGGAAAAGGAATTATTTGCAATTTTAGCAGGATTAGTTCAGAGTGAAGTGAGCTTTATCATTTCACTCTGGACTAATCTTGATAAAATGCACTCAAAATAAAGATACAACATGTATCATGGTTATGATTAAGGTAATCTTACAGCAAAGATTTCAAATATAAACACCGGTTTCATGATGGCGTAAGCGTTTAGGCAACAGAATAAAGTCTAGATTACACCATTGCGGTGGCGTATATGTCGTCAAGTTCTTAAGAGTTCATTGAAGGCAGTACGTATCAAGTTCTACAGCCACTGGACGTATTTTTTGAGAAACATTTGAGCATCGTCTGTTAAAGCAGCAACCCCATAACAGTATTTGAAATTTATAAGTTATAGGTTTGCTCTTTTGCTGACACTAGGTTTTCCATTAATGGTTAATTTGGAACCACCGTGGGCACCATTTGTCATCCGTCAGCGCTGCAGTGACCACATGCTTCACCAAGACGGACTATACTCTTTCACCCATGAGTAACTTGTGCTATGTTGCGCACAGATAAAAGACATCCGCGCAAACTTAACTCTCAATAAAAGACAACAGAATAACTTAACCCGAAATAAATGACATTAAAAGCAAAAAGCCATTCCGTAGCGTTAAATATAACAAAAAGAAAAAAATCAGGATGTTAGGTTGGTTTGGTTAGTTATGATAAAGCACTCAAGGGGCCTCCGTGCGGGGACTAAGGAAAAATCGGCTGGTATTCACATTATGCATAGGAAAAACCATGAAAACGCCTAACACCCAAACCCTTTCGCTGGGATTAGAGTTCCGAACTACCATTGTTAACAGACTTTACTGTTCGGCCGTTGATGAGTTTCTTTCAGATGCAAGTAAATATTGACAAGTAACAGACAGAAGCAGCAATTGGACTTCACAGAACTAATACGGCAATTTTTTAAATATTTTCTTTCTAAAGCTAAAAGATTTACGCATTTACTATGCCAGAAGTTTATATAATGAAGAAAGCAATCAACTGATTTATTGAAAATAATTTCACCATTACTATTAGTCGCTCGCATACAGTGATCTAAAAATTCAATAACGCGCTTAGGATTTAAGCGTCTGCAGTTCGTGTTTTATTTCAAATTGGTGTACCAAATATGGTGCGGTATCAAGGACTTCGCGAGTTATGTAAAATGCTATTTTTTAGAACTAACTTTGAATGCTCTATTTTACCTTCATTAGAGGTTAAAAGTTGTATATTATTTATAAGTGAATTTTAGTTCCAATGTGAATCGTTATGAATTTTTCCACACTTGGCGCAATGCCAGTTTAGTTGATTGAAATTTTGTATAGGAAACTTTAAATTTTTAAATGACGGCCTATTTGAATTTTACAAAAAAGATATTTTTAAACTTGTGGAGCATCCATGTTTGCATTCCTAGCGCTGAAGGGAAGCTAACAAATATATTTTGGGGTCACGAGTTCGGTATGTAAAGGTTTGGTCTACTACCTTCCAGCCTCCCTCCATAGCAGTTTCTGCGGTTTTCCTACTCATTTTTGTTCCCGCTACTATACAATAAAAAGTTATTTTAATTGTTTGCTTTTTTTTGCAATGAGAAATTAAAATTTTCTTGCAAGTATTTAATTCTGAAATAACAGAAGTTTAAGATACTTTATCTACAAATTTACTTGCATAAATATACATACACACAGACATATATATACAGAATTATTTAAGGCTCTTCTGTTTCAAACGCGAATAAGCGATTTTTAAATCGCGGCGAACACACTGGTGAATCTACAACGCAATTAACTTTTAAATGGCAAGTTACAAAAACAAGCTAAGTCAGAAGTTCCGACGGAGTATTTCTTTTTGCTTAAATGTTTCCAGAAATGGCCGATTAATTGAAGCTATACCTTAATTTTACATCATGCATAAAATGTAACGCCGGTATTTAGTAAAGAAATATAAAAGAATTTGTAAAAGAATGTTACAGGGTTTACGAAATGTTAGCTTCAATATCACAATCTTTTTTCAAGGAACTAAGGTTGTTTTCAAAAATACACTTTTCTGTATTTTTCTTACATCTTAAAAAATACTACTTGCAATCCATGCAAGCGGTAAGGATCCAGAATTCAAAGCTGATCGTATAACGTTAGCATGGAAATTCTGGATAGACAGATTACTTTATGAATCAAGAATTTCCGCAACGCGTACAAATGCACTCCCGTATCGCTGTGTCGCTTTAGGTTGCATTTGCTACCTGCGTCTGAATTTGCTCGTTACGTAACATATGGCTTACATTAACGCGAACACAAATAGATCCAAGGAAGCTGACGTCAAAATTCCACAGCATTTGTAGTTTCTTTTAGTCGCATTCGTTTTGTTTAATATCACGTCAGTAATTCAACGCGTAACTTCCGAGAAAGTCATTCTTCCCAGGAAATACATAAGCAATGCGAAAAGTCGAATAATGACTACTTTGATTACTATAAGTAAAGAAATTGGTGAAAGGTAGTGGTGAAAGATGTCATAAGCTGCCTTCTATAATCATCCACGAAACAGCTTTCTATTTCCAATATTAGTAAACTGGATTTTCCATTCTACCTACTATTCCAACCTTTTTTAACATCAGAAATTTGCTATTATGCATTACTGATGTTTTTAATTTCACGATCATGTAACCATGGTACGTATTTTTTTTTTTTTTTACTGTATCACAAGAACAAATCATACTGTAAAATACATCACTCCGTATAATTTCAATTCACCTTTCTAGGAGAGGGAAGTAAAAGTTGAAGCAAATGATATGGAAATGTTTATGCTTACTTGTGTCTTCCATCCTCCTCGGACCATTGTGACGCCACGTTACTATAGATTGAGGCAGAACGGCAAATATACTAAAATTGAAGAAACATTGGTTAATTATTTGTGGAAAACAGCTGAACCTTAAGAGAAAAACTTTCGTTAAGAACTTAAAAAGAAACCAGCTTAAACTCGCAGGAACCATAAAAATCTATACCGTCAGTATTTTTAAAGGAAATCTTAACCTGGGATGAATTATTAGTGCACAGTTATGGAACCTAAGCCTCTCAATGTACGATAGGTAAACGGTGTACGGTTAATTACAGCACAAGACATGTTAAGATAATTTGCGCCAAACGTAGGATCAAATTTAGTTTATTACGATAGTATGTTTTGAAAAACTAATGAAAAGATCAGGCAAAATGAATTATGAAGTACCGTAATACCCCGAATTCCGGTGCCTTATTTCCCCCCCCCCCAGTTCCCAAGCTACTCAGCATTTCCGCAAGACTCAAAATCTTGAAATGACATTTCGCGAAAAACTTCAGAAGTAATGGGAAGGTGATTTATCTCTTCAATAAACAAGGCGAAAACATCACCGTGAACCGACCAAGAAATTCGTGCAACAGAAGTTATCAATCTCGCTAGGAATTAGGATACTGATAGTAATGACGTCAATGAGCTATTGGACTTTCAGTAAACAACCGAAGAGCTTAGATGCCAGAACGGTGATGGCTCATTAGAAAAAATGTTACAAATTTTGGAGAACATGGACTAATGAAATCTATCTGCAAGGAATGGGGTACAAATTAATTTATAACAGGAAAATTTTAAGTGATCGTGTCTTGAGTTAATTTGTTAAATTTTATGAAGCCTTCGGCATCAATAATTCATCTAGCATATTTATTACCGTTTCGTATAGATATTCATGAAAAGTACGTTCTTTATTATGCAATTATCTTCTAAACGTTTTAGTCCCTAGTTCTGATAACTTATCAGCTTAAGTGTTTATATTCGAAGGGTAAACCCCAACTAACGTGCTCCTCGTTAGTCCCACCTATCATAAAATATCTCCGGAACTTACCATCACAAAAAGTCCCATTATACGGTCTACAAGCTGTTTGCCTACGCCGCTCAGTCGGTATAGTGGTCAGGAAAGCTGACTGCGATGCCGAAGGGCCTGGATTCGAATCCCGGAGAAGGCATGGTTGTAATTGTCCGTCCCTTCGTAGGAAAGGCGATGGTGGCCCACCTATTAGGTGCCTCCATAATAAAAGAGACCACCACATCCGCCCTTGTATAGATTAATGGACTGGGTTAAATTTGAAATTGTTTACAATCTGCCATTGGAAAAAAAAAAAGAGTTGTTCGCAGACATAATCGAAACAACTTTTGCATTGAGGGCACAATGCATGAAAGCACTGAAGTGTACATATAATATTAAATAAAACAATCTAAATTATCCATGTGTGTAAAGACTGATTTGGGAAAGATAAACATATTTAAAATAAAAATACTTCATATTAAATACCGAGCGTCTTGAAAACCAAAATATACTTTTAGTTTACTTATGAAGTATAGAGACACAGGATATATTTCAAATAATTTTCACAGAAATAATTTAAATTGGAAAATTCAAATTTATAAAAATATTTTAAAGAAAGGACAAATATTCAAAGCTGTATGTGGGAATTAAGTGTCTTGCAATATGATCTAGTTAAATTAATATACTAACAATGGCTTTCTTTGCATATGGTAATCTTTCAGGACGTTTCATCAGTAACGGCAAAGCATATGATTGATACCTAACGCAAAGGGATGCTTTCTTGGAAGGCGTCTCGAATCATTTAAGTTATACTTGAAAATAGCAAAAACATTAATGCAGCGAACCTGCTCGACGAGGTTAAAAAGTAGGTCTGACTGCTAGTGTTCAGCTACTTTACCCATTCGGACCCTCCTCGCATATTAAAATAAATGAAACAGTCGCATTTAAATATAGAACTATTTTGAGTATGAAGGAATTTAATTTAGTTATTACTGAATAATTATTAATAAGCGTACCGTTAATACTAATTGTAGGAAAAGAGACGGCTGGGGACACGTATGGGGCCTCTTATTAGCGACTAGAATAGTTTTGGAATGAAGTAGCTCCAAAATGTGTACTCTCATCTTGTTCAGGGAATTTGAAAAACTACATACGCAGTCGTAACATACGCGAGATCAAATTCATAGTGATTGTTTTATAAGTGATATCCAGCCTCATACTACGGCAAGGTATCAGCAGAAATGTAGATACTGGATAAATACTTCGCGCGGTTACTAAGCTCTACGTTAGTTATCAGCCGCGATATGTTGAAATCAGTATAGTAGTTTGAAAAATTAGAGTTTTGACTATTTTTTCAAGACGGTATCAATGAGTAACATGAGGGGGAAAACCGCCAGTTTAAGACAATGTTTCTAAGTTATAGTCAATTAAAATACAACGCTGAATGGAAAGCTCAGTCTGCTTAATGTTTATCTTTAGCTTCTCTAGGTTAAACAAAGGATGCGAAACCATGATATAATAAAGGACATCTAGTTTATTATTTTGGTTCGCATTTTCTTGGTGTCAAGAATTTTTCTACAGATAAACTTTGTAATGGTATTTTCCTAACCGTCACTTAATCTCCCCTCCCCACACACACAGTGGCGGTCTCAAACCGTTCAGAGACGTTGACCACTACCAAGGCCAGAAGCGGTGGTCACTTTATTATGGAGGCATCTGATAGGTAAGTCACCTTTATTCCTATGAGGGGACGGACAAAGCCACATATTTTCTCTGGGATTCGAACCCGTATCCTTTGGTATCGCAGTCGTCTCCCCTAAACATTATACTCTTTCCGACGTCTCCTTTATAATGTTACGCCGTATATTCCGTACAACAATCTGTAAATATTGATCCATATTCTCCAATTACCTCTATTCAAAAAAACAATCTCGTTAAATGCCACCGACAATCATTTGCTCCGATAACTACTCCCCCTAGAAAAATATAGGAATTTTTTCACATCCTTTCCTTTATTACAGAAGGAAATTCTTTTGAAGTAAATTGCAATATTTTGAGCTTATTCATTTTAATTTTAGGACTTGCTCTTGATGTTTCTTGGCGAAAAACATTGCCGTCAAGGAAACTTTAGATTATAATAGATAATTACCATTTCAACTTCTGAAACAATTTCTTTTATCATTTATCTAATAGAATGTATTTTTCTTTTTTCACATCACATACGCGAATAAGATCCACTTTGAGTGGATAATCCACACAGTTTTTAAATCGGTCGGAAAAATTGTATTCTATTTTGGGCAATTTTCAATGAAACAAAATTTAAATATATTACTTAAAATTTAAATTTCATAGATTTAACGAATATCGGTTTCCTAAAAATGCATATTTTAGCATTTGCAAAGCATAACTTATTTTGCCATATTCTTCAGAAAGAATTATAGTTATAATCAATTTACTTTACAGATCAGAAACTCCAGGTTCCCTTTAACAGGTTCTTGTTTTTGTGAGCGACAGAAGGTAATACACTCAGATTACCTTTAGCATAGTATTTTTAATTTTCAAGCCAGTTACTGATCCTACTTGATATTTCCTTCCACGAAACTTGGTCATAAGTCATGACATTAGAAACTAATATCAACCGATGTTTTTGCCCTAAATTGCTCAGCTTCTGATAAATTGCTTCTGCAAACTATCTGATACAATTAGCTTTTGCATTAGGTATTTGTTATAACTATGAAATGGGTACAAATTTCACTAATTTGGAGAGGAGATATTCAGACTTAAGATATAACAGCTGAACGAAAGTACTTTTATTCGTGATTTATTAAAAAATTTCAAGACATGGAACTCGAGATTTTTAAAAATCTCCAGACGGTTCTGAAGACTTTTATACAAATTTCACATTCACTATTCGAATAATTTGGAGGATTTCTGATGCTGATGTTTCCTGATTTTGAATGCTACAAATCACCAAATTTATAAATTTAATGCTTGTAATTTTATCTTACTTTCCACATTAAATGTTAATTTATGTTGACTTGAAAAAGGCCTTTTTTAAATGCATTTGTAAATTCCCATTTTTAGAACTTTAATAATAGTTTCTACCAAAAGATTCCTATTTATTATAGGAGCATCATGGCTCTTCTATGAAGTATTCAGTGGTGAGCATCAATAACGTGAATAAATGAAATTTCAAATAGTTGATTCAGATTAAATAGTCAAAGCATTAGGAATTACAAGTTTAATGCACACATTACCAGGAATATACAGCGGAAATGTCAATGAGAGTTCAATGAAAGTTAAATTACGGAAGTTCTATCTGGCAACCAAAATTAGTATATAATCACGCATCAAAAATGATAATGTAGATCTTACCTTCCCTTCAAATAAGATAACAGGTACAGGAAACCTGTGTTTGCGTCTACAAAGGTGCGATTGCTCAACCAGTGGAATGAATTCATCAACATCGAAGCTAGAAATTGCAATATAAAATTTGAAAGAGTTCCAATCACTTTAAAGGAATTTCAGCTTTACAATCTGATAACTAAAAACATTGAACATATCAATTCAATTCATTATTTTCTTGTATATTACACTTTCTTGCATGTATGTAAGAAATATACAAAATCAGAAGTAGATACACACATTAAATTTAATATCCCATGATATCCTAAAGTTTTCCACTTCAGAATTTTAGTTCTGAAGTGCTGTCTGGTAAACTACCGACGAATTTCTTGATAATTTTAATTCGAATATTACATTTCCTTCGTTTGTTGAAATTTGTTTCAGCAGTTTACTTGCTCTTAGGGAAAGGGAACGTGATCACAGGTTTACAGATAATTCTTCAATATACATTGAATTCCTCGCCTTTTTTAATCATACTTCTGTTTTATTTCTACTTACAGTATACATTGACGTCTCTTGCTCATGTCCCTGAAGAGCGAAATAATTAGTTAAAAGGAACACTCTTTACAACGTGTATGTTAAGTTAGGCTATTTGGACATAGCAAAGCCACGTGGACTATCCGTCTACGAGGAGGGATACATTCTTGGAGGACTTTCCAAGGAAGAGTAGCTCATTCCTGTTTACTCGCGGGAAAAAACAAAACCAATCATGCAGAAACGTTAGGCATGCAATCACGTTAGGCAGCCCGCACGTTTGGTTTTGTACTCAAACCAGATCGAGCTACCAGAATTCAGGGATCTTAACCACTCGGCCACTGGTGGGCCACTTATTTTAAAAGTTTGAATTGTCGAAATCGTTCAATTTTCACAAATTTTTCAGCCGAATTTTGGACATGTTCCATTAAGATGCACTGTAAATATAAAAAAGGCAAAATCGCAGCCACAATGCTTAGGTTTTCATTTTATGAATAATTCGCGAAGATAGAAAATTAATATATCTCAAATAAATCTTGACTTAGCATTTAAAAAACAGATTCATCTGAAAATATGACTATTTCGATTCGAAAGAAAAATATTTTCCTTACTGCAAACCTTAAAAATTATGGACCTTTTAGCATTTAATACAAACATTTTAATAAAAATTTGAATAATGAATTTCAATTTAACGTAATTTCTTGTTACACAATTGCTGACCAACTAAATAACGAATTTTTTACCTTCGATACCAATTCCAAATTTACCAATACCAGTTAATTCAAATACTCTCCAAAATATCAATGGTTAAAAAGCGAAAGATTAGTTCGATGAAAAACTATGTACATTTATTGTTTGCACAACTATTGTTTACACACTTTTAACATTAGTTAAAAATGGATTTTTTTTCAAACTATCTTTAATACCGATCGATTTTGTGTTTCATCGGATAACTGAGGCTAAATTTTGCGGTCTAGGTTACGGCAAAGGAAATAAATGTTATCTGCTGAAGTCTTCATTGGCGAATTCTTACAGCTCGGTAGTTGGCAAAAGTTAAGTTTTAGAATGTCGTAAGTTTCTTATTATGGCAAATCACAGAGTTAACAGGTTGTGAGTAAAGATGCCTACAAGACAAAAGAGAATAGACTCGCAATTATGCTACATTTGAGAAAACTTCCAGAAACTTGTTCAGCCTTTGCTCTCGTGGCCTTTTTCCCGGCGGCGCATGAGCAACTCGAGGCGTTTCGCTGCCTTTTTGACGCATTTCTTAAAAGAAACTTGAAATCATTAGACACAAATGTATAAAATTTTGATATTTTAACGTTTTATACATCTTTATACCTTTATAAACGTAATTTCTTAAATATTAATCTAATTTTTCTGTGTTATGTTTCTTGTAACAATTACCAAGATGCATGCCCGAATTGTCGGACCAAGTATTACAATAATGTATGGCTCATTTCTCCGAAAACAAATTTTGTGATAGATAAGAAAAAAGATTTCAGATAAGAAAATCTGGTTAATTATTGGATTATGGTAACTTGGTGAATTTTTGGCGAAAATTTTGCGACCAACCCTGCTACAGCAACCTGCTAGTTTTTGTTTGGACGCCATTTTGTTTTCACGAAGAAAAGGCATGTTTCTTTTTTGCTCAACATTTTTTTCCAACAATCTGCTAGCCGAATTACGCTTATGCTAGAATTTTTAGGGAACAAAAGAGCTTAATCATGACGAAGATTAGGTGCGAAATTGGGAGAAAGGGCAGAATCGCAAACTGCTTTACGCGTTTTTAAGAATTGCACATACACAGTATCCATGTACACATCGATCTATTTTCACTTAAAAAAACATCCCAGAATTGCACAAAAATTGGCATTGCGCACACTCTTGACTTTATCCATGTACACTGCTAAAGTCCTAGCTAGTAACGTTTATCGCCTTACCAAAATGTCACCAAACTACCTGTTACCATATTCCAAAGTATTAGCTGAAAATCTTATCTCCATTTAAAGGGATATCATTTTACATTTAAGATTATACAGAAAGAGTGTAGGAACCCGCTTCGATGAAACTAAACGTAAACGGTTATTGCGGCCCATCGAGTTTCCGCATCAAACAAAGTGGTGAGTGGCCTCTTCAGTTGCGGCATCGAATATGGTGAGTGAGTCACCTTCTAGTGAAAAGTGTTAACAACCAAGAACAAATGTGGAATGAGTCGCAGGTAAACTTAGAGTTACTTATTTGGATTATTTGATTACGGAAGACCATGGCTAGAACCCTCTGCCTAGTCCTTGGCGGAGGGCTTTCTAAGGAAAACAAGCTCATATCTATGTTTGAAAGAAAATCACGAAAAATGCCCATGCAGCTAGTCTGAAATCTGACCTAGATCAAATTGCAGCGTTCACAGCGATTTTTACTGCTCGGCCATTAGAGGATAGTAAAATAAGAATTCCTGGAAGTTGAACCCATTTCTTACAGCAAAGCGAGGGAGAAACTAATCAGCTCTTTTTATTGAAAAGAAGCTCCAGCTTCCTTTTCAAATAGTATTTTCAATCATTAAAGGTAGATTACTGAAATATCGAACAACAAAACTCTACCAACATTAAGAACAAAACAGCAGTAATTTGAATACTTTTCAGAATTATTGAAAAATGCTTGCGTGATTAAAACGATTTCTAGATGACGACCGACAGTACACTAGGAAGGATGCGGTTCCTAGACCTAGGCTTAAAATGCCCTTAAACGGTAATTAATGCCCCAAACACTAGAGGCTATCTAAGGAGGCATAATTCTCTCAAATTCATTCAGGAATACAATTTTAGAAGCAGTTTTGGAAAAAGCAGCAGAAGTTAATGGCGACTGGCAAGAAGTTACCAACAAAGAGAATATAGGTATGTCGTAGGCTATCCCTCGGTACTGACCAAAGGGAGCCAAGTATCCTCCGTTTGGTTCATGTTCGTGGTCTGAAGCCATCATACCGGTGCACTCACTCTACAAAAACAGATTTCATAAGACCACAAGATTTCTTCACAGCAAAAAAGAAATATTTTTTGTATGCGGCAACGTAATGCATTCATAGCATAAGACATTAAATAGTAAATCAGGTAATTATTACTAAAATTCTGCATCACGTTACTTCTTCGATCGCGCTTGCACACAAGCTCAACCTTTTCGTCCCTGAACCTGATTCACCTAATCTTTCAGCTTTAGCTTCTAGTTGTTTTTGCATCAATGGGCGAGCCAAATTAAAGCTAAAATAAAAATTTTGATTACAAACCTAATGGTACACATTTGTACCGGTAATTATGCCATTTGGTATACATACGCGAGATGAACAGAAAGATTAATTTCTAAATTAATTCATACAGACCGGATATTCCATTTCTTTTCTAAACATTTTATAAGAATTACACAGTAAAATTACGTATAAAATCAAGTTTATTCTTGCACAAATTTACAGTAAAATGTATAATGCAGGCACTCACTGGTTTATTAACAAACATAACCTTACATTTAGTGAAATCCGCATGTTAAACACTGAGGGGGCTGCTGTGGTACTTAAAATACCGTAGTGGTACACTTTTCGATTAGTTATAATCTTAAATACGTCCTGCAGATATTTTTAAACATCAGTGGTACACATGTGTACCGTTCGGGAAGAAAAGGTTAAGACATAGAATCAAAGTTTCGTCATTGGGGAAATTAAAAGTACACTGCAAAAAATAAATATAAAACCGATTTGTTTCATTATAAGGAATAGTTTTTTAAAATAATTACCTAGTGTTCGGAAACTGCGCTTCAGCAACGTCTGCTCTCTCTTTTACAGGAATAATTATGTTCATTGGATAAGTCGGGCAGAATTTCCCACGCTGATTATCTAGATGCTGTGATAGAGATTTTACATTTAACGAAACATTTGAAAACTTTTAGGGTATGTTAAAAGTTTTAAACAACTTTGTTACAAAACTCACCTGACATTCATAGTCTCTTTCAAAGAGCATTGTACACATGTTCATAATGGATACACTCTCCTGAAATTTAAGAATTCTTTAATAAGGAAATTATGCCCTTTGCTAATTAAAATAGTCATTATGATTAGTACTTAAAATAGCACTTAATAGTTAACTTCGTAAAACTGCCAAAGGTCAATTAGATGGCTGTATAATTAACTGTTAAAATTACAACTACTTTTACATACACATAATTAAAGTTCTGAAATTAAAATATTATGCATTAATTAATCAGTATTTGACAAAACACTCAAAATGAAGTAACTTCATATTACATCTGCACTATCTGAAACTTCATAGTTTAATATCTAAATGTTTTGCATTTAAGTTGCTTTGCTTTCAGACATTACATATCACTTTAGAATGTTACACTAGAAAAGATTAATTTTGTTGCATTTCAAAAACATTTACATCAAAATTAAACGATTTGAAACAGGAAAACAGAAAATACACAGGAATTAATGCATATTTAAGATTTTAACAAATATGAAATAAACTTACACTAATATTTTTGGCGTAACACAAAACTGAATTTAAATGTTGGTTCACGTTTTAGCTTTTATATAGATTTATACAGCTTGAGAAAATATATAACAAGATGGGTTAAAAAGAGTTATAAAATACCGAATCATTATCCGATTTGTAATAGCGGTGGCGTGCTACTTTGTCCATCAACATTCTGACGTCAGTTTCGTTGACTAACCAGTTATTCCCTTCACCCGCAATGTCCCGTTGTTCCACTCCTCCTTCTGCCATCACTTAAAAAAATGTATCATGCTACGACGAACTCAGTAGATTCTTTCACAAAATAAATCGTTAAAAGTATTATGCGAGATATTTATAAATTCGTATTCTAAGCTCTATCTTGGGAATAACCAATAAGCTTCAATATGCAAATCTTTTTTCCGAAAATGTTTAATTTAAAATACATTTCCTACGTAAATCTCTTACGTCGAATTGTTCGCAATAAAATTAATTTATAGCTGCTTGAAGTATTTAAAGGTTATTTATTAAATGTTCTTTTTATTTGTAATGCGAATAAAAAGCAAAATAAAGAAACAAGTAAACATCTACACGATTTGTTTTGTTAATCAAGTACCAGAGAGAAGAAAAAATAGGATTTAACAGTGTACAAAATTTTATTGACGAAAAATATAAACTATATAAATAAATATATCTGATATTGCTAAAATAGCATTGTTTAGAAATATCCTTAGAATAAAATCTTAGACACAAAACATGAGAGAACAATAAGCCTCCTGCCTTACGAATATGAATTTTGTATTTAGTTAGATATTTTGAGTAGAAATATAATTACAATAGTTTTATTTCGCCTTCCAATGCAGAACGTGAAATGCAGTAAAAATGAAGGAGCACCTGCATTTAATATTGAATAAAAGTTGATCTCGTAATTTATATTTCATTTGAATGTATGTAATTGACTACTATTTTAACTATGATCGTAATTCCACTGTTTTGCTTTCCAGAAATCTCGAGAAGCAGAAATTTAATAGAAATTGCTCGCGACCGATTTAAAGCTAAAAAACGCCATCTGCTGTAATTATTGTTGATATGATTAGCTTTCTCTGAGCTGTAGATTGTGTTTTATTTAACGTTTTAGTAGAGTTTAAAATATAGCTACTGATTATATTGCGTAATATTATGATATTGTGCGAATATATATGAGGAAAATT